CTTTTACGTCACTGACTAAACTTATATCGCTTAACTTGATTGCCATATTCGCTTGATACCGGATTGAGACTTTAACAAAGTTTGGGTGAACGGTCCGACCTAGATCGACCTCCCGCTTATCTGTCATGACTAACATGACTACCCGTGTGCATTTGTTTTAAACCGACACAACAGGGCTACTGTGTAGATAAGGGAAGAAGAGCAAAGAGAAATAAGAACAGCATCTGAATGCAACAACAGAGATATGGTAACGAACTAAAGAAGCAGGCGAAAGGGGAGAAGGAGGCAACGGAAGAAAAGAAAGGGGGCATAACCGTACACAATTGGGGGGGGGGCTATACATGCACCCCCTTGAAAATACCAATATTCGAGCAAGCGCCACCTCGTGTCCGAGCAGCGAGGTGGTCTCTTTCTGGTTATTTCTACACGTACATCTTATCATGCTTTATCTTTCAACGCTACTAATATCAAATGATTTTAAAAACTATGAAATTGGCTCACAATGCAGCAATAGTAGATGTCACCATCGAAAAGTGTCAAAACTTGAATGTGTGCGCGCTCGCTTCGCATGCTTACAATATGGAAAACTCGACAGTTGAAATTCTTGCACAAAAAATCAGTCCCCTAGCTGACTGAAGTATGCCTGTAAGAGAAGGAGGAGGTGGGGTGGAGGGAGGGGGGTGGAGGGAGGGGGAGGGGGAGTCAGAAGAAGAATGCTTCAAACGACTCAAATGTCACGAACGTGGTGAAGGCGTGTTGTACTTAGTTTGGGGAGGGGGTAACCAGTGCTCCTGCGATTATGGAAAATAATCATTGTTTAGTCAAAAGTTGTTCATGAGAGTTTATGTTAGCAATAGCTCTGTGGAACCGATGTGACCTTCCAGTATCGTTGGATAATGTGCGTTTTCCGAAATGTTTAAATGTAAAAGTATGATTTATTGTTCTAAAAAAATGTAGTGCTGAGTTTATTAATGAGCAATGTGTGACTTAAAATGTGTTAAATTGACCTATGCTCTATATACTGTATATAGTTGTAACCATGTGAAAGAAGAATTTCCACTCAATGTGGACAATAAAAAAAATCAATCAATCAATCTAAAACAAATCAATCAATCATAAAGGATGTCATGTAAACGAAATACTGTCATTTTATTTCCTCTCTGTCAAACCTTCACTAAAATAGCTCCATCATCTAGTTACCATGTTCAATCTATTCATCAGAGATATTAGTTTTCCATGTGCGTTTCCAAAGAAAAACAAAAGTACAGTAAACCTTTTGAGGAAGAGCTCCACCTGTTTATCAATAGTTCAATGGAATGAATATACACGACTCAAAGGTATTAGTACTATTTTTGAGGTTACGCCACAACAGTAATTGAAACAAAAAGAATTAAGCATTAGTGATAGCCTAAGTGATAAGAGTAAAATCATTCGCAATAATATTAGTCCTATAATAAATGACTTACAAAAAGATAATACAATAATAAATACATAAATGAACAAACAGTTAAATCAATACATACATGAATAAAAACTGAATAAAAGAATAAATAAATTATTGGATTAATCAATAGCAAATTAAATAAATGTTTCTCAATATAAAGGACAAAAATAAAAGCAGAAAACTAAATAGGTAAATAGATATTGTAAATAAAACAATGAAAAAATAACATACAAGAATAAATGATTGAATAAATCTGATGACAGGCTTTAAAGAATAGAGAAAAACGTTTCACATTTTCAAATGCATCTGTACACAAATACATTATGTACATGCAGGTCATTTCATGTAAGTTTAGTACACAAAAAATGAACTGCTAGCCCCCCCCCCCCCTTCCAATGGCGGGAAAGCGCTACGCCACTGGTACGAAGTCCATAGGTCGCTTACCTTTTGAATTTTTATCGCCCATCTAATATCTTGAATATTCATGAGAATATGTATGCATTGTTCTCTTTCTATATCACATACCATTAACCTATATCAAAGAAATTATCAGGTGATGATTGTTTGTCCAAATATGGAATAATCGCGCCCAATAATTGCACTGTCATTACTACCTATGACATATTTACAAAGTCATTTAAGGTAATCAGCAGATATTTACATTGTAGGCCAATATTTAGATAACCATAATCTGCGCAAGCGCGTAAAATGCAAAGAGTACCTAAAGAACATACAACAAAACGAATACAATGTGCACAGGATAGAGCAAGTAAAGTGATAACAAATACAAACATTGTATTGATAGGAACCAGTGGCGGATCCTGGGTGGGGCAGGGTGGGGCATGGGGGAAGGGGGCACGGACCCCACCCCTGGCAAAAAAAAAAAAAGTTTTAAAAAAAGATGATAACCCCAATTTTAACTTCTTTTTTTTTTACTCAAAGGGGCGGGGGGTGTTGTGTAAAAAAAAAATAGTGCTCACTCCCCACCCCTGGCCAAAAAAGAGAGTAAAAACACAGATAGCAACCACAATTTGACTTGTTGTTTTGTTTAAAGAAGACGGGCCCCCACCCCTGGCAACAACAACAAAGTTTTTTAAAGAGGTTTGGGGTGTTGGGTAAAAAAAAGGGCCCACTACCCCCCCCCCGTTGAGCAACAAATAAATAGTGCTCACTACCCCCCCCCCCCCCTCCCCGTCGAGCAACACAAAATAGTGCCCCTTACCCCCCCCCCCCCCCTCCCCGCTCATTCGCCGCTAAATATTTTCACAGGAATCGGGCCCCCACCATCGCCGCCGGCTGGATCCGCCCCTCATAGGAACAAGTTTTGCTGCTGCTAGAAGTCAGATCAATGCCAGTTTCTTGCCAGGTAACGAATGAGAAAGTGCCGAGCTAGGACTCGAACCCTTAACCTACCGATTGAAGGTTACGTGAAAGAACCACACATAATTACTGTAAATCCTGATTGAGTAATTGTACTTAAGATTCGAAACAACATATACTGAAGGAAATGAACTCCAGTTTCACAGTGCCAAAAAGATCTATGTGTGCCTATTTTTTGCTTGTGTCTGTTTGATTGTTTTGTTTATTCTTTCCTAAAATGCTTTTTCTTTATTCTTTCCTAAAATGCTTTTTCTTTATTGGGGTATATTTATTTGAAAACAATGTTGTTTCAAACAGCTCTGCCAGTGTGATTTATTACAAACTTTACAGGAAAAAAAACACGCAAATCGATGGTCGTTGATAAGATTGACACAAAATTATACACCGGTTCCAAGTCCATGTGCATTGTGCATGTATCGTTTATTTAACAATTAACTAATCAGTTTTATATTACATTCAAATCAACACGCGTATCTTCAGGTACTAGTCAACATTCATGTATTTTAATTTGTTTTGTGATAATCTGTTCCACAGGGCCATGTAACGAGATAAGAAAGTTTGATATTGTTTGCAATTCCAATATTCGTGAACAAAGGTGACAAACCACGTCGTACAAGTGCTGTAGTATATTGCAGTTGTTGCCTGTTAGACACGTTTAGATTGCGTAATAAGCGAGTTCATAAATAGCTCTGGAACGCATGACCCCAAAATATCCACAGATCTTTGACACGATGGATAGTTTGGATACATCCCACGTGTGCATTTTAGAATAATCACTGCCGAAGTGATGGCGGTGCTTCATGAATACCTTTTGTTTGCCTCTTGAGAATAATACTTCCACCTGTGTATCAGATTAATGTATTGTTGGTGCATAAATGAATACTGATTACATAACTTTCATGAGCACGATCCGAGTATTCGTCTCAATGGTTTTACAATTTGGGTACGAATGACCTTGATCTGCCCATGCGCAAATCCTAATTACGAACTCGCTTATTATAACCTGCGCTATAATGAGCCTCTGAATATATCTCATTTTCCATTCCATTAGGCAATTATTTCACAATCCATGATTAAAAGCATTGTATACTTAAAACATATATTTTCATTTTTCATTTAAATTCATTTCATTTCGTATTTGTTAATTTAACAAACCACGATAAAAGGCATCGAATATTTATGAAACATTTTAAAATCTGATGATATAACAAAAAACTAATCAGCCTTAATTTGCACTGTTCACTTTGCATCCACTCAATACTACTACTACATGTACTACTACTACTACTACTTCTTCACTACTACTACTACTACTACTACTACTACTACTACTACCACTACTACTACTACTACTACTACTACTACTACTTCTACTACTACTACTTCTTCTTCAACTTCTACTACTACTACTACTACTACTACTACTACTACTACTACTACCACTACTCCTCTCTTCCTTTCACTATGTTTTCTTTCCTATCAACGTTCTGTTATATACAATGTAATTTTCATAATAATATCTATAATGTTCTTTCGGTAACTGTGTTAATTTATTATGGGCGTTCCCAACTCAAGCTACGCTTTCCGGGTTTTCGCCTCCTTCCGTATCTGAATTAATTACTGTATACTTTATGTTGAAATAATTGTTACATATATCATGTATATATACATTGTGTTTTATATTGTGCTGTTGAGAAGGAAATAAATGTTAATAAATACAAAAATACAAAAATACTACTACTACTACTACTACTACTACTACTACTGCTACTACTTCTACTGCTACTACTACTACTACTACTACTACTACTTCTACTACTACTACTACTACTACTACTACTACTTCTACTACTACTACTACTACTACTACTACTACTACTACTGCTACTACTTCTACTGCTACTACTACTACTACTACTTCTACTACTACTACTACTACTACTACTACTACTACTACTACTCCTACTCCTACTACTCCTATTACTCCTTCTACTACTGCTACTACTTCTACTCCTTCTACTACTGCTACTACTTCTACTACTTCTACTACTACTACTACTACTACTACTGCTGCTACTACTTCTACTGCTACTACTACTACTACTACTACTTCTACTCCTTCTACTACTACTACTACTTCTACTCATACTTCTACTACTACTACTACTACTAATTCTTCTTCTCCTGCTATTTTTATTTTACGGTTCCATAGTAAAAGAGATTAAGGCTTGCTGAAGACATCATGAACAGATGAACCGATGCATTATTTTCGTAAGTTTGTACTAGCAGAATAATATAAGCCCGTGTGTGTGTGTGTGCATAGACGTCTATGGTGTGTGTGAGAGTTTACAAAACTCTCTGATAGTCTGTAGTCAAAAACCCCGAAGTGATGGACTAGCTGAGTATCCTTCGTACTCATTTAAGAATGGACTAGTCTGGATCAAGTAGACTATTTTAGTAGGTCCACGGTTAAAGATAAACTCCAGTACTGGTAAAAAAAAAAAAAAAATTCTCACAGAATCAAAGGAAACTTACACTGAATGTTCAAGATTACAAATAAATGACATGTGCCAAACAATTTTGGAAGAAAATGTATACTGGCTGAGTAATGAGCATAGAAAGACAAGGAAATCAAGGAAGTACTAGACCCGACACCATGTGTGTTGTCCCATATATAGCTTTCTATGTGAGTGCTTGTTACTTTACCAAGACTCGGTCAAATTTATTATGATTTTGATGACTCCAGAACCTTGCAGTACACACCAATACTTACATGCTACATGATCAACTGTTTCTGATCCTTTCCACACCTTTTCTTTCACAATGCAATCGCATTACCAGTACTAAAGTTTATCTTTAAATCTGAGATGCACGGCCCTGTGTGCTATCAGTGTCTGTGATATCGTGTAATATTGAAGCCCTAAGAAAAAATCGCGCTTCAAAATGATCAAGAAATGCCTCAAAAAAGTTTTTAAAAATCTTTGAGTGACCGGTTTTACCATACTCGTTTTCCCCCATTAGACTGTAATGTTAGGAAAACCGTTAGGAAAACGCAAACATTATTTTGGTTTCGATTTCCAATCATAAATATCTTGATAATCAGACAGGCGATCGGCTTGTAAAAGTCATGGGGTTCCTGACTGACCTAATGGTTTATAATTATCATTGCAGCATGCATTAACTCAAGATTTTTTTTTTCAGAATCTGAGCCAAAGTTACCGGATCCCTTTAAAGCCGCAACGAGCCGGACCTGTTGGGTAGTAATATCTTCCTGAAAGGAAGCGATTCCACTCACTAACAAGTACAACCAGCTGATAGGAAGATCAACTTTATAGTGTATACTGGGTAAGAAAACACAATACACGACAAACAAAACAGATTATCATTTAATTATTTTTTTGTTTGATCGGGGATTTTATTTTTACATGAATTAATACACCTTTACATGAAGTTATATTCTTAAACTTGAAGCCTTGAACCTAGTTGTGATTAACCAAAACATTGCCTTTGTGAGGAAAAAATTGGCCTTTTTTTTGGGGGGGGGGCTTGCTTGGTAAGAAAACATAATCCACGAAAAACAAAAGAAAGACTTTTTTTTCAATCACGAACAAATCGGGGGATTTGTTATAATAATTTGTACATGTATATCCTTTCACTTGAAGCCTTGAACTTAAAAGTAGTGGTGATTAACCAAAACATTACCTACAGTATGTAAGGCATAGATAGGTTTCTTTTTTTTTTTTTGTGGGGGGGGGGGGTCGGACAAATAGATGCCCTCCTTCAGGGCTTCTTTTTTTTTCTACCCAGGCGTCTTTGCCTTTGAGTGTGCACGCATACGTTCACAATCATGTTCATTTTCAGTTATTTTTGAAAACTTTTAGGGTTGTCAGAGGGGGACAAATTAAAGGCCCACTGCACTACTTGTAGCTACTTGCGCCCTCTATATAACAAACCATGCCTAATCGGTGACCATTTGTCCCCCATGATCCTCTTTTTCTTATGTTAACTGAGAGCTGAGTTGATGAGATAACCACCTGTCCAGTGACCTTGCAGGGCAGTCTAATCCCTCCTGTTAACTATGGCAGATACGCTTTAAAGCCCTCACAAATTGAATAAATTCGTGAGAAGTTTCGATTGGGTAATATGACGAAGAACTCTGTCTCTCTCAAGCAAGACTATACTGTATAACACATAACTCAGTAACTCGCCACACTTTGTATTGATACTTTTCAAAATGTCTGCTAATATGTCTGATTATTCCCGTTTTGTTTTAAATGCTATTCATGTTGGTGTTCAGAGCATGAAAGGTGCAACTTGTTCTGTAATCATGCAGTGGATTTTGAATGAAAGAAGGTGGGCATTATAGGACTACATCTTAAATTAGAGCCCGCGCATGAAGACAGGTAACTACAGGTAACTACAGGTAACTATACCAATGACATCCCAGTTCAATACGATGACAGCACCAAACGCCACACCAGAAATATCACACTTCTCATTCAAAGCCCCGCCGACCCCCCCCCCCCCCCCCCTGCCCCAAGAAAAATAGAACACCAGACTTGACTTGCTTTCAGTGGTTCACGAAACATTATCATTTGCGGGATATTACCTGGAGCTTAACCCGGTTTTCTGTGTCCTAACAAAAAGATGGACTGCAAATCAGGTTTAGTGTTTCACAGATCAAACCGTATATTATATATTTCATATATTTGCTGCATAGTTTAGTTTAGGCGATGCTATAATTCATGGCAAATATAAACATCTTTAGAAGAATCTTATATCGGAAAACGGACACTTATTATTGTTTGTCTTCAGTTTTCACCACGTCATGATATTGGCAGATGATACACTCTTTAAAATATTTGGTAAAAATGTGCCCAGCACGAGGTTAATTATGTATTCAACCAACTTTGGACATTTTCTTTACCCAATTAACTTGAGTAATATATTGTCTAATTAGGGTCAAAATGTATAACAATCATTTAAAAATTGGCAAAATATTAACCAAGTTGGGAGAAGAAAAAAACCAATGCCAAAAGTTGGGTGGGTACTTAATAACCTCCATGATACATTTTACCCAGACAATCGAGGGAAATGACTGGGAATTATTATTTCGGGGTGGAAAGCTATATATGGACATGGGAAAGCACTATAGAATTTCTATACAAATGAAACCATAAGCTAGTGGGTGGTATAGCTATAGGGGCACGGGGGCATGTGTCCTACCCCCCCCCCCCCATCCAGTCGAATAGCCAACAATTGGGAAATGAAATCAAAAGGATAGGGGAAGATATAAAGAAAAAAATGATAGGACCCTCTTCCACAACCCATGAACGGTGGTCCGGCCTCGTTAATGCACTTTGTGTCTACCTATTGAGACCGGTGCCCAACCCTTTACCAATAAAGCCAGTGCCCCCCTCCCCCCCCCCCCCCTCTCCCATCCCCTCGCTACGCCCCTGACGTTAGAGAATGATGCAACATATTAACCTTTAGCTTCCTGTCCACTTTCCGGAGGACCACTAGGCGAGACTTTGACCTTGACTATATTTCACAATGGATATCAGTAGTGCATCCAGATTCTCTTTTTATTTTGATTTTTTAATATATTTGTTGTACTTTGGCAGTCCCGGTTGCCGAATACCTATTGCAAAGTATTATGTTTATTTCTGTTTATATCATGCATCAAAAATGTATTAGTTTTTGATTGGTTGAGAGCTCGTCACATGAACAGAAATATTTCAACTGTTTTAAGGTTGCTCTGAAAAAGTACTATTTGGGAGTTCCAAAAAAAATGTGAATCTTATTTTTATGAATTCATTTTTTTTTCTTCAAATCTTAATTAAATAAAAACAAAATCATTTTAAATCTTTTTAGATAAAAATTGATTTTTTTTTTTTTATTTTTTTTTTTAATAATTTGTTGATGCAAGATATAAAACAAATATATACCATGCCTTCCATTCGAGGTACTGGTTAAAACTATGGGCCCCGGTGACTCCAAAAGTACCATTGGAGTCACCTCTGCGCATAGTTTTAACCAGAACCTCTCAAGACAGTGTATATTTGTATACTATGTCCCTAGATGAAGGATTGGTGTTCCAACTACATTCCGCTCTGTATTTCGTCAAAGATATGCAATGGTTATGGCTCGAGATAAACCACTTGACGCGATTGCCAAAAATCTACATGGGAAATTTGGGGGAATTACTTCCATAGTTCCAATTCTCATTAAAAAAAACGACTTTTAAAGGATCAAGCCTTCTTCATCAAGTCTTCTAGATCTCAAAAATGAGGAATTCGCTGAATAAACGAAAAATCTTATTCAATCGGCAACATTCTAGAGAATAGGTTTACAAGTTTTACTATAGAACACCTTCAAATCTAAGTCAAGTCGCTAGTTTGTTTTACTTATAAATGTCATGATTTTTAATATGTTTCTCTCATTTCATTTTTCTACTTTTATAAAGAAACACAAAATGACCAAAGAAAACAAAATATAATACTTATTTGATATTCTCCTTTAAAGTAGAACACCCATTCATGGGGACCAGGTGAATCATAGATATTTAGACAATGGCCGGAACAAAGGGCGTTGATTGTTTGACTAAGTGATCGTTATGTCCACTTTGAACATTATTTCAAATCACCAATATGATAAGGTTTGTCAATAATATTGTCACACCTGTATAACATGTTTGGAATTGTACGACAAAGGCATGAGATGGCAATTTACCGCTGTTTGAAGGAGTAGCACTGATTTGTAAAGTTTTTAGACCTGCACCTTGAATATGTAGCACCGTGTCGTGTGTCTTCTTTTTTTTCTTCTTCTTCTTCTTCTTCTTCTTCTTCTTCTTCTTCTTCTTCTTCTTCTTCTTCTTCTTCTTCTTCTTCTTTTCTTTCTTTTTCTTCTTCTTCTTCTTCTTCTTCTTCTTCTTCTTCTTCTTCTACATCTTCATCTTCTCTTCTTCTTCTTCTTCTTCTTCTTCTTCTTCTTCCTCCTCCTCCTCCTCATCCTCCTCCAATTCTTCTTCTTCTTCTTCTTCTTCTTCTTCTTCTTCTTCTTCTTCTTCTTCTTCTTCTTCTTCCTCCTCCCCTCCTCCTCCTATTCTTCTTCTTCTTCTTCTTCTTCTTCTTCTTCTTCTTCTTCTTCTTCTTCTTCCTCTTCTTCTTCTTCTTCTTCTTCTTCTTCTTCTTCTTCTTCTTCTTCTTCTTCTTCTTCTTCCTCTTCCTCTTCCTCTTCTTCCTCTTCCTCTTCCTCTTCCTCTTCTTCTTCTTCTTCCTTCTCTTCTTCTTCTTCTTCTTCTTCTTCTTCTTCTTCTTCTTCTTCTTCTGCTTCTTCTTATTCTTATTCTTCTTATTCCAGTTACATTTACCTCTTTCAGGTTTCAATAACATAACGAACTTGGTAGCACCGGACGTTTTTCAAACCATAAACATGTTTAATTATATTAAGCCCTCCACAGGCTACTCTAGTATTGCATAAAGTGAAAATAACAACGAAACAATCATTTGGTCAACTGATATTTCGCAATATAAACCATAAACATGATCGAAAAACATGAAAATGCGTCAGTCAGAAATCGGACTGTGTCTACAACTAGTGGCGCAAATATTCAAATTTGAATGAAAAGCGCTTTTAGAGCGGGACTGCACTACTTGTAGCTAATTGCGCCCTCTATATAGTAAACAATGCCTCAGCGGTACCCGTTGCTCCCCACTGATCCCCTTTTTCTTATGCTAATTGAGAGCTGATTTGATGAGATAACCACCTGTCAGTGACCTTGCAGGGAGGTCTAATCTCTCCTGGCTAAACTAGTGCAGACAGACTTTAAACTCGAACCACCAACAACAACAACTGGTGATATCGTCAGAAATCATGGTAACGAAACAAAATAATAATGAAGAAAGGGGGTCGAGAAGGAGGAAAAGAAGAAGAGTATGAGAAAATGATGGGTACAGAATTTCTTATAAACTCGTCTCCGAAAACACGTATACCGATAATCTCTTACATTTTCGGACTTAAGCCTAATCCTCACCATGAGTACTTGAAACCTTGAAAATAATGCATTGTCAATGAATAATCACCCGCCTCAATATCTCTCCTTAAACTTAAGCCTTCATAAGCACGTCGTTGAGATGTCAACAAAGTATGTAGTACGTTGGATGATTTACATCCATAGGCTTACGTAAAAAGCGTTGTGAAAGATCGTGAACATTCTCCATCAGGGCTATGACAATTATTTTTATATTGATTTGTTGTTAAATCTCACCCATGTCAACATGAAATATGGTGGGTGGGGTGTTACCTCACAATGTGCCTTTCAATTCATCTAAGGTATATATTATATTTATACAAATAATACACAGCAGTGAGGGCATTAGTAAGAATTACCCACAAAAGGTACATTTGCATGGAACAGTATATACGCCCGAGGCGATAGCCACGGGTGTTTTGACTGTTTCGAACCGAGTGTATGGGTAATTTTACTAATCCCCGAACAAAATGATGTGTATTATTTGTTTTTATAAAATGATGTTCTGTGTTGTGTTAATGGCCGCTCATTAGTATTTACTAATATCACCGGTCATTAGTAAAATTACGTGTTAGGAAAAAGGAATGCCTGATCACGTACGTGTACGCTCTCAACAAACAATTAGGTAAGGATCTGCTTCATCATCGTATAATAGCTAATATCATAGACCAATCAAATTGAACAAAAAATATGTTTAAAGATGTTTGCCTTTTTAGGATTGGGTCAATATTCCATGCCATCGTAAAGACAGTGTCAGTGATTAACATAAATTAAAATGCCGATTACTTTCAAAATTTAAAGAAATACCATCTACGTAGTACGTACATGTACATGTATACCTATGCTTTCTATATATCAGTGATTGTCCTCGGTGAAAAGTAACCCACTGTGAAAGCAAAAAATCTTAATGTTGTTAACAGTTCGTAAATTCATGAATCTTTTTTCACAAGAATGAAATCAAGAAATGCCACCTGCATCCTCCACTATCCCTGTTAACATGTAAAGTTTCAAAGTTTCTGGTAGCCCTTCACCCCCACGCTGATGCACATGCATGTTCATTATCATGGGTGTCGATACTTACGTAATACCTATTCATCAGGGGGGGGGGATGAATGAATAGATCATCCCCCCCTGATGAATAGGTATCAGTTACGGATCGACACCCATGTACATTATACAAATCAACTTGTTAGACAAGAAATACCACCAAATGTGCCTTGTATCATGTAAGAACTACCCCCAACTGCCTTTAAGCCTCGGTCACAAATGCCATTACGAACTGCTACGCACGCCGTACGAACGATTTTCAGACAATGGATATTCGCGAAGACGTTGGAAAAACAGGGAGATTCGTACGAAATTATCGTTCGTACGAACCTTTGTGACCGTAGCATAAGTTTACATAATGCCCATTTGTGCTACGATCTGGTGATTTCAAGGATTATGCCATTATATATGGTGGCCCTGAAGGGACATCGCGAATAGACTAAATCGTGAAAAATATGCGATAAAATTCACGATATCGTCAATTTTATCGCATATTTTTCACGAAGAAATTCACGAAATTGACGATATCGTGAACTTTATCGTGAACATTTCACGATGAAATTGACGATATCGTGAATTTTATCGTGAAAAGTTCACGATATAAAGTTCACGATATCGTCAATTTTATCGTGTACTCTATCGTGTACTCTATCGTGTACTCTCCTGACGGGCGCTTCGTAAACAAAACCAGCCCTAGCTGGGGGAGACAGAGAGAAGGAAAAAAGGGAAAGGGAAAGAGAAGATAAAAGGAAAGAAAGAATAATAAGAAGAAAAGAGGGAAACGGGGGGGGGGGGCGAAGGGCTCTTGCCTCCTCACTCCCCCCCCCCCCTCCCCGCTAAAAAAATAAATCAGAGAGAGAGAGAGAAGGGAAAGGGAAAGGGAAAGAGAAGATAAAAGGAAAGAAAGAAGAGGAAGAAGAAGGAAAGAGGAAAACGGGGGAGGGCGAAGGACTCTTGCCCCCCCCCCCTCCCCCCCCCCCCCGCCAAAAAATAAATCAGAGAGAGAGAGAGAAGGGAAAGGGAAAGGGAAAGAGAAGATAAAAGGAAAGACAGAAGAGGAAGAAGAAGAAAAGAGGGAAACGGGGGCAAAGGGCTTTTGCCTCGTCCCCCCGCCCCCCGCCAAAAAATAAATAAGAGAGAGAGAGAGAGAAGGAAAGGGAAAGAGAAGAAAGAAAGAGAAAAACGAAAAAGAGGGAGAATAGGAAAGAAAGGAAAAGAAAGAAAAGAAAGGAGGCAAGAGCCCTTCGCCCCTGTTTCCCTCTTTTCTTATTCTTTTTCCTCTTCTTTCTTTCCTTTTATATTTTCTTTCCCTCTCCCTTCTCTTTCCCTTTATGGCGGGAGGGGGGAGGGGGAGGTAAGAGCCTTTCGCCCTTCCCCCGTTTCCCTCTTTCCGTCTTCTTCTTCTTTCTTTCCTTTTATATTTTCTTTCCCTTTCCCTTTCCCTTCTCTCTATCTCTCTCTCTCTCCTATTTATTTGTTGGCGCGGGAGGGGGGAGGAGGCAAGAGCCCCTCTTTTCTTCTTATTCTTCTTCCTTTCCTTTTTTATTCTCTTTCCCTTTCCCTTCTCTCTCTCTCTCTCTCTTATTTATTTTTTGGGCGGGGGGATGCAAGAGCCCTTCGCCCCCGTTTCCCTCTTTTCTTCATCTTCTTCCTCTTCTTTCTTTATCTTCTCTTTCCCTTTCCCTTTCCCTTCTCTCTCTATCTCTTTTTTTTTTTGGCGGGGGGTGGGGAGGGAGGAGGCAAGAGCCCTTTGCCCTTCTCCCGTTTCCCTCTTTCCTTCTTATTCCTCTTCTTTCTTTCCTTTTATATTTTCTTTCCCTTTCCCTTCTCTCTCTTATTTATTTTTGGCGGGGGGGGGGGGAGGAGGCAAGAGCCCTTCGCCCTTCCCCTGTTTCCCTCTTATTCCTCTTCTTTCTTTCCCTTTCCCTTCTCTCTCTCTCTCTCTCTCTCTCTCTCTTATTTATTTTTTTGGCGGGGGGGGAGGTAAGAGCCTTTCGCCCTTCCCCCGTTTCCCTCTTTCCTTCTTCCTCTTCTTTCTTTCCTTTTATATTTTCTTTCCCTTTCCCTTTCCCTTCTCTCTCTCCTTATTTATTTTTTGGCGGGGGGGGGGGGAGGAGGAGGCAAGAGCCCTTCGCCCCCGTTTCCCTCTTTTCTTCTTCTTCTTCCTCTTCTTTCTTTCCTTTTATCTTCTCTTTCCCTTTCCCTTTCCCTTCTCTCTCTATCTCTTATTTATTTTTTGGCGGGGGGTGGGGAGGGAGGAGGCAAGAGCCCTTTGCCCTTCTCCCGTTTCCCTCTTTCCTTCTTATTCCTCTTCTTTCTTTCCTTTTATATTTTCTTTCCCTTTCCCTTCTCTCTCTTATTTATTTTTGGCGGGGGGGGGGAGGAGGCAAGAGCCCTTCGCCCTTCCCCTGTTTCCCTCTTATTCCTCTTCTTTCTTTCCCTTTCCCTTCTCTCTCTCTCTCTCTCTCTCTCTTATTTATTTTTTTGGCGGGGGGGGGGAGGTAAGAGCCTTTCGCCCTTCCCCCGTTTCCCTCTTTCCTTCTTCCTCTTCTTTCTTTCCTTTTATATTTTCTTTCCCTTTCCCTTTCCCTTCTCTCTCTCCTTATTTATTTTTTGGGGGGGGGGGTGAGGAGGAGGCAAGAGCCCTTCGCCCCCGTTTCCCTCTTTTCTTCTTCTTCTTCCTCTTCTTTCTTTCCTTTTATCTTCTCTTTCCCTTTCCCTTTCCCTTCTCTCTCTATCTCTTATTTATTTTTTGGCGGGGGTGGGGAGGGAGGAGGCAAGAGCCCTTCGCCCTTCCCCCGTTTCCCTCTTTCCTTCTTATTCCTCTTCTTTCTTTCCTTTTATCTTCTCTTTCCCTTTCCCTTTTTTCCTTCTCTCTGTCTTCCCCAGCTAGGGCTGGTTTTGTTTACGAAGCGCCCGTCAGGGGAGTACACGATAGAGTACATGATAAAATTGACGATATCGTGAACTTTATATCGTGAACTTTTCACGATAAAATTCACGATATCGTCAATTTCATCGTGAAAAGTTCACGATAAAGTTCACGATATCGTCAATTTCGTGAATTTCTTCGTGAAAAATATGCGATAAAATTGACGATATCGTGAATTTTATCGCATATTTTTCACGATTTAGTCTATTCGAGATGTCCCTTCAGGGCCACCATAATTATAAGAGGCAGACACTGAAGCGTGTAAGTGTTTTCTAGTTAAGGGAAATTTCGAATATCCATTCGACTGTACATGGTAACAATAGATCGAGCCTTGAAAAAACTCTTCAGTTCACTGGTCATAACATCAAGCATTTCAACCCTTCCGAAGTAAACAATATTCTCGTCGGCATATCTAGTCGAGATTTTAGTTGACAAGAATATGTCACGTCTATATTTGCCACCATCGAAACAAGATATGGACCATTAAATTATTGATTGTAACGCGTGAAACACATTTTCACAAACTATGCATTTATGAGTACAAAAGGCCTTGATGCAAAGTCAACTAATGGTTTCCATGAATTCAGATTTCTCCCATCACTTTTTGTGTAGTACCAGTAAAGTCCTTCTACGAGATTGCCAATCCCACCTTGGTTGTTAAGAATATTTGCTTACATGTGGTATTGGTCGAATAGTACACGTCCATGAACTAAACTTGACAGTTGATCATAATGAAAGGAAAGGCGAGCGACCATGACAATCGTAATTATGCACACATCAATGACTAGTGTCATTTTTACCACACAGTTGATAAACGCAAACTCTGTGATTTTTAGACGATTAGACTTTTGTTGACCTTTCGGTATTTCCTTAGCTGTAAATAATACCTTTCCAACCTGCAATATATATATTGACGTGATTGTTACTGTGTCTTTTTTAAGTTATTTAATATTGTCAGAGAGTGAGATGTATTAATTTATCCGTTTGGGAAATATAAACTTGTTTGGGTAGTCAGTCACATTATCGTAGGCGTACATATTATCGCCAACGAGGATTGTAAATAAAATCGAGTATAGGCGACCATAAGTATATTACCACCATTCGACGTGGTTTCATATAGCATATGTCGGTAAATGGTATGTCAGTGGAAATGAACATATATTCTTAAATTTCTTATGGAGTGAATAAATATCTAAAAGAAAAACAACGAACAATAATCATCATCAGCTCGCGTGTTTTATGCACCTAGCTCTTTTGATGTGTTCTCTTTGATATAGTTCTCTTGGTATAGTTCATTATGAGTACAAAAATTGGCTGTGGTAAAGGAAATCTAAATAAAAGATAATTCCTGCGAAGTAAATGAAACACCACAAACTCAAATTCTTTTAAAAGTCTATCAATTGGTGTTTCTTCTTTGGCTAGTTCCTTTGGAATAGTTCATTTATTTTGAATGGAGTACAAAATGTCGTAGTAAAAAGAACTGGAAATGAGGGTATGATAGCACAGTAAACATATAATAATATGGAGAAGATGAAATATATAAACTCACATGTTCGGAATGCATCAGCGCCGTCGAGTTCGAGCATGACCACGTAGAGCACCCCGAATGAATTAATGACTCCGAAGACGACGCCGTTGGTCCAGCTTGACGCTAGACACACGACCCATCCCCAGCCGCCCTCGGGCACCGACGTCGGTACGCTCCGCCTCGTCATCGTTGCCGTAGTCGTTCTCGAGGGAGAAGACTAAACGCCGACGTCGCGTCGCGTGCTTAGAAATGGAGGTCGACGATGTCGTGTTGTCACGTTTGGTATTCCTCGTAAATTGGAATAAGAATTCTACTTGCAACGAAATATTACGTCACTTACAGTTATCGAATCATAAAATGTCTTTGTAAAGAAAAAATCCCATACAAGTCAGATTTTTTAGTAGCAGGATAAATACACTTCGACCTCTGCTTGACGAAGCTAAGCTGTCAGTTCCTTTGGTGTCCACTTGTCCAAACGACCATCGGTAGTTTGCGAAAGGAATGATGTACATTATTCACTGTTTAAAAAGAAGGGGCGACTCCTGGAAGATATCCCACGCAATTATAACTGTCGCATGGCACTTGCTCTCTCGATTGGTGCGGTAGTCTCATGCGGTTCTGATATCGGCCAAGGCAATCGTCGATGCAGAATAATATATAAAATCCCAGCAATTCGGAGAAGTCAATTTATCTTCAAAAATTGATCAAACCGCTGAAGAAGAGAAAATGAAGAAAAGTTGCGATGGTGCACGGGTAAGCACGAGGTCAGATAAACGTAAGGTTAGGCTTACGGGCGCATGAGGAAGAATAAAGAATTTCGTTTTGACGTACACCACGTTGCTCATACACGGTAAGTCAAACTTGTCGCAGCTAACTAATTCTGTGTCAATGCGAATTAGATATATTTACTTTTGGTCAAAGTACATCTTATCTTCAAATCGGTGATCAGAGCGACACTTGACACAACGCTACGGCCTCTTATCTATGCCCTACCCCGACCTTTCCCCGTGCATGTGGCACTGGCTTCGGTGATAGAACCGCACGCACTACAGTGCGAGAATGCGACGTATTCATTATACCAGTGGAATAATACTGTGTTTACTATACAGTCAGCTGGGTCACAAAAACAGCTGATCGCGGATTGTGATGCAATACTGAAAGTGCGCCTGCGCATTTATGACGTCGGCGCATTGTGACGTATATATGCATAGCATTGTTGTAAGTTGAAAAGACCCTGAGGATTAGTAGGTCCATGATTGTACCCGTATACAATTGCCTTAATTGTTTATACCATTGCCTTAATTGTTATGCCCCTGGCAGTATTTTTTCCAGAATTAATGCATGTAACAATCTGATTATGTTTTTTCGTCTGTTTGCATTTGTTTTCGTTTTGCTTTCATTTGTCTTATTTGCTTTACTTTGGCAATTTATAAGTAAAAAGGTACCCCTTTTTATTTTTCAGTCGCTAAATTTTAAGACCGTCCTGCCGCCCCCACCCCTCGCCCAAAGAGACCAGGCGCTGTCTTTTCCTTTGTAATGTAGCTAGGCTGAATAGGTTTGATAGCAGCATAATTATATAGAGTTAAAATAAATACAGTCTTATTCCTCTTTTGATGTAATGCGTTGACTTCACAAGCAATTGATAAGCTTGTGTCAATAAAGAAGCCAAGAAATGACAATACTCTACAAGGTTGCATTAATCCGCTGTGTCGTGGCTGACTGCAAATGATTTTGACGGATAAAATAAGTTGTCACCGGATGACCGTAGATTGGGTCTTCGAAAATAGACTAGCAACCGTGGAAAAGCAGGTCATGATTCATGGCCGTAAATCATTTTTATGTCGTCTTTTTTTTCTCATTTTTCGAGTATAATAACTGAGCTCATTATTTTTTGTAGCAGTATAGCGGGTTAAAGGGAGGCAAATTGACCTTTCCTTCCCCCCCCCCCCCCCCCCCACCCCGCTTTACTCTCTTTTGCTTGGGAGAGATTTGTAAAAATACAATGTATATTTGCAGCTACGACTTGTAATATCCCCTATGATTATCACATATTAGCTTTAGTGGCAGTTGCAGTAGTAGTAGTAGTGGTGGTGGTGGTGGTGGTGGTGGTGGTGGTGGTGGTGGCGGCATGGTAGTGGGTAAGTGGTTGTGGTAGAAGTAGTAGTAGTAGTAGTAGTAGTAATCATAGTCGTAGTAGTAGTCCAGGGGCGGATGTAGCTTTTTGCTAAAGGGGGGGGGGGGTGACCAAATGACGATGCGGAGCGGTGAGGCGATTTGTTTTTGTTTTAATATTTATTTTTTGTGTGTGGCTATGTTGAATCCCCGTTAGTGATGTTTTCTTGGCATCTTCTAATACTGTGTGGGTCTGGACACATGATGGCGTTTTTCTTTTCACATGTATCACATTTTCACTTTGCAGTCCAAGGGGGGGGGGCAGGATTTAAACCCCCTAAACCCCCCCCCCCCCCGTAGATCCGCCACTGGTAGTAGTAGTAGTAGTAGTAGTAGTAGTAGTAGTAGTAGTAGTTAGTAGTAGTAGTAGTAATAGCATCAGTAGTAGTAGTAGTAGTAGTAGTAGTAGTAGTAGTAGTAGTAGTAGTAGTAGTAGTAGTAGTAGTAGTAGTAGCATCAGTAGTAGTAGTAGTAGTAGTAGTAGTAGTAGTATCATTATTATTGTTCATCAACTTTACCATTGCTATTATTATTCTAGCCTCTCGGAGCTTTCTTTGACTATTGTCCACGTTTACAGTATTTTTGATACGCCCTTGCATTTCAGCACAATACATTTATTTGCATTTATTGAACCTATATTTATTGTAGCTCAGAAGGGTGATCAAAATAATGGCTTGATAATTTTGAAAGGGGGGTTCAAATGGGGAAACTTCCCCTTCACAAGAGCCGATCCCATTTTTTTATTTTGAGAGCAGAGGAGGCGCTCCCAAGGAAGGGGTAGGGGCAATTTTTTTCAAGTACCCAAAAAGTGTCGGTTATTACATAGGAAAATTGCCCCTTATTTTTACTTCAGATAAGTGCCCCTTCTTCTGTCTAGAAGATGCCCATTCCGCATTCGTATAAATGCCCCCTTTTCCTCTGATAATGTCCCCTGATCAAATCTAAGAGGTGCCCCTTTTATTTTGACAAATGCCCCTTTCCTTTTTATTAAGAGCCCCTTCCCCTTCTCATAAATGCACTTTTCATCTCTAATAAATGCTCCTCTCAAAATCTGATAGGTGCCCCCTTTTGTGTGTTTTGCTTTGAAAAGTACCCCTTTTCTTTTGTAGTAAGTGCCTCTTCCCTTTTTATAAGTGCTCCGTTTCATTTATGATGAGTGCCCCTGTTAACCTCTTAAAAGTGCTTATTTTATTTGTATATGTGCCCTTTTTTCTTTCTAATAAGTGCTCCTTTTCCTTCTTATACGTTTCCCTTTTTCCTCTTTGATAAGAGCCCCTTCCGCCTTGACTTTGACAAATGACACTCCAAATAATAATAATTATAATGTAAACTTATTTAAGCGCACACACCGTCCAGGGACGCTCATGGCGCTAGCTCAGCAAAAGTAATCTTTAGTACAAGAAAATAAACGTTTATTTGATGATAGAGTTATACCATCAGAAACTCAAACACAATTTGGCAACATTTGTTTCACCCATTTCAATCCTCAGCTCTGTCCTTTATAATAAGTGCCCCGTCTCCATTCTCATAAGTGCCCTTTTTCAAGAGCAAAAAGTGCACCTTTTCAATTCTGATAATATCCCTTTTTAACTTGACACATACTCCTATTCTTGTCTAATAAGTATCCTTTTCTCTTCTGATAAATGCCCACTTAACTCCTTCGTAACATGAGGCCCCTAATTCAAAGAAACTAAGAGCATTTTTTAAATATTTAATTCCCCCCCCCCCCCAAGCTTGCTCACTACACTCCCTCGCATTTATTTTGGATATAACTATGTAACTTATTACAGTTTTTTCAGTCTTTCATGATGGGATTGTGCTTAAAACCCCATCCGGATAGGTATTCTCCTCTTTGTAAGATGTAATTTTCGAAATCCAACTTTCACAAACGAATATTTTGACCATCACACCCGACTGCAAGTTTTGGACCTTGTAAAGAGAGAAACAAATATTGAAATCATACAGAATAATGTAACACAATGTAGGGGTATATGCAAAAGTCTAAAATTGTATATTTTCGCTTTGAGGTTTTCCCTTCGTATAGGTGCATTATTTTTTCCAGAGAGTGCCCCTTTTGTTAGTGCCCCCCCCCCCCAACTTTGGAAGACGCTCTGCCGCCCCTGTTTGAGAGCAAGATGAATTCGTCACGTAATCCCGTCATCAATGGCAATGTAAACACATTAAACAGATTTTTATCGTGAATAAACAGTAAGATTTTTCATTACCAATAAAATCACGAATGAACTTGGATACATTTAGAATTGAGGTTGACCAATTATATTGCTTGTTGTTCACCTCCACTGCACTGGATGTTAAAGACACGACATGACATTCGGAATCACCATTGCAGCTACACCACCGTTTAATGTTACTGAGCACTGCTGTTAGATTCGCCACTACGAGACTGCGAGAAGGATCAACGCCACTTTGTCGATGACGGTTTACAAGCCAGAATAAAGAGCGGTCGACGACGTCATCGAGCTCGGTGTTGCACCACGATGACGAGACGTACTATACCGACGTCGGTCCCCGAAGGCGGTTGGGGTTGGGTGGTGTGTCTGGCGTCGTGCTGGGCCAACGGTGTCGTCTGCGGAGTCATCAACTCGTTCGGCGTCCTTTACGTGGCCATGCTCAACATCGAAGGCGCCGATGCGTTCAAAACATGTAAGCCGAAATGCCACCAAGGGGGTGTTTCACAATATTATAAGTCGAACTTGACTCTAAGTTAGACAGCCATTTGTAGCCTTTTAAAAAGATATATTCAAAAGCGAAATTTCACGTATTTTCGACTTTTTATTAATTGCACATCAAAAACATGAAATCTCCTTGATAATGGAAAATATGATTGATTTGAATCAACATTTTATGACTTTTAAAATAACTTGTACAAAATATTTGTATAGATGCTAACGGCTTTCCATTAATTGTTAAGTCAAACTTAGAGATAAATTCAACTTAGGATCTTTGTGAAACACCCCCCCCCCCCCCCCTCCTTGCTCTACACTATAATCATACATATCCAATCTATTTTGAGAATTCGCAGAGTGACAACAAACTGCCATTTGCATATCATCCATACTTCATCCGGCTAGTTGTACGCAATGTGGAATAGATAATTTATGTCATCAGCTGACTTTTTTGTGGCAAGTAGACAGCAGATCACAAAACGTATGTACGAGGAAGGCTGTTCTACAACCTCAGTTGCAAAAGCAGCGAAGGATTTATTGTCCAGCAGAAAACGTGTTCGATGATCTCAAGCAAATAATAGCATGTAAATCGCAGATTCGCACTATTATAGGGATACCCATATCTCAATACCATATTCCATCGTTTTTCAACCGGCGTGCTAATGCTATATGGTCACAAATCAGAGCAGCGACCGACCGATCAGTAGCCTGCTCGGTCGCTGCTGGAATTTAGGCATCGCCCAGCGATTAGGTCGGTGCCCGGGCGGCGACCGACCAGGCACCGAACGTATTTTGGGCGGCGAGTGAAAAGTGAGTAGGCGCCGCCCAAATTTTAACTCCGCGCTAAAACTTCAGCGGCGACCGAGCGATGCCCTAAAAACGAGCGGTGCCTGGGCGGCCGCCGCTCGGTGGCCGGGCAGCCGCCGGGCAGAATTGGTTAAAAACTCGCCGCTCGGCCGCCGAGCAGGCTACTTTTGGGTAATGTGACCGACATGGGTGCCGCGAGAGAAATAAATTAAAGATCTATTTGATTGCTTATCCATTATGGAAATAACGTCGATTTCGTGAAAACAAAAGTATTATAAGCCGCTATGTATTTTCATTAAGAAATAACATATAATAATAATAAAAATTCTCAGTTTTTATATAGCGCTTATTACAATCACTAAGCGCTTTCAAACTTGGAGATTATCAACCCGGTTTTAGCTGTGCTGCCATTACGGCGCTCTAGCATTTCAAAGAATAAATTCCTGCCAAAAGAAAAGAAAAATCTTCACTCTCTCGCATCATTTAGGAACAATATGATCACAGGCAGTGAAGTACCTGAATATTCCACATAATTCATCAATGAGGTGCCAGAATATCTCTTTGACAACGAGGCACCCGAATATTGTCACATTCGGGAAGCAAGGTGTCCGAATATATCTTATATTTTTATATCGAAATTACATTTTTACCAAGCTCGTTCGCTTCACTCGCTCGGGACATTTAGAAACAGGATGATTCTGGACAACGGGATGCCCGAATATCCTTATAATATGCGTGCGTCGAGATGACCAAATATATGACTTTTGTATCCATGAATTGGTCAGCGAGTTGCCTGCATACATAATATCATAAAGTGTGTTTTGTTAACAAATGACACTTGTACCAAACTAAATATATGTCATTGTTTTTGCTGACTCACATGGCACTTGATCTGTACCAGAGGGATGAAAAAATGAATTCACGATAAGGGTGAAGCAAAAAATTTTGTTTCTCAAAAAGGTGCCCTGACTTTAAAAAAAATTAAAAAGCTGGACAAATTGTGCCTTATTAAAAACCATCCCGGGGGCGTTTCACAAAACTTGTCGCCAGTGACAAATGACAGTTTTTGTTATAAGCTACTGAAATCCTTGCTTCTGATTGGATATCAGCAGATTTGTCACTGATTTTTGTCATTGAAAAAAGGCTTTGTGAAACGGGCCCCTGGTCTTGGGTCTGCCTCCTCCACCATGTCCACCACCACCTTCCCCGATTCCCATAGTGAACAAACAGCTAATACCCTTATAACTGACCCCAAAATAAATGAGTGACATATTCTACCCAAAATCCCAAAATGCCATTTCAACACGATTGTAATAGCGTTTCGAAAAATCAACCTGCGCCATTTCGATAGCCTTGTGCACCACCCATTAAATACTGCTAATACTATTATAGCAATGACATAATTACGTGACCCGAAGATGGTTTTCTATTGGATACACAAGAAAGAATATAAATGCTGCCTTTCAGTTTATTTGTTTTCAAGTCTTTGCGTTCGTGTTTTTTCTAGGACAGTGGCAAGTTTTACATTTTAATCGAGAGTAATTTTTTTGTTGCAATTAAACTCTATTTCTGGCAGCTTGGGTCGGATCTATCTGTGCCGGTGTCACGTTAACATTTTATTCGAAGAGTAATTTTTTGTTGCAAACTCTATTTCTGGCAGGTGGGTCGGATCTATCTGTGCCGGTGTCACGTTTAACATTTTAATCGAAGAGTAATTTTTTGTTGCAAACTCTATTTCTGGCAGCTTGGGTCGGATCTATCTGTGCCGGTGTCACGTTTAACATTTTAATCGAAGAGTAATTTTTTGTTTCAAACTCTATTTCTGGCAGCTTGGGTCGGATCTATCTGTGCCGGTGTCACGTTCTCCATGGCACCCTTCGCAAGTCTCATCACGGACAGGTTCGGATGCCGACCTACTGCCGTCCTCGGCAGCGCCCTCGCTCTTGCCGGTATCCTGAGCAGCTCCTTCGCTACCCGGATTGAACATTTGTACATCACCTTCGGCCTGGCCATGGGGATGGGTTTCTCCATCGCCTTCCAGCCGTCGCTCTACATCCTTGGGATCTACTTCCAGAAGCGCCTCGGTATCGCGAATGGTTTAGTCAGCACCGGGACGTCCATCTTCACGGTCGTCCTACCCTTAGGTATGCGGGAGATCCTCAAGCGCTATGGCCTTAGACCTTGTATCTGGCTCCTCAGTACCATCATCTTCGTGATGTTGCTCGGTTCCTTAACCTATCGCCCTCGACCGGAAGTGGTTGAGGTCCTTGACCTCAAGGAGGACTATACTTCCGTCCGGAGGTCAGAGGATGATGACCTTCAAGAAGGGGAAGGATGCTGCGGAAGGTGGTGTAGAAGGGTGAAACGTACCAAGTGTTCCTGTAGCAGTATCATTAATGTCAGTATCTGGAAGGACAGGAACTACAGGTTATGGGCCATTGGTATGCCTCTGGGATTGTTAGGGTACTTTGTTCCCTTCTTTCACCTGGTGAGTACCGATAATAAAAAAAGTACTTCTTCGCACCTTTATACGAGTGGTACCTCATCCTGTTCTCTTTGTCATCCTTCCTCTCTATGTCTCTTCCGCTCCTTTCCCTTCCCTTCTTTGTCTTTATCTTATTCTTTCTTTCTTTCTCTCCATTCCCATTTTTCCTTTTCTCCATATCTACCGGGTCCTTTTTTTTCTCTTCTCTCCCCTATTCATATTACTTCTGATGACACAACATTGAACGTTTAAGTTGTTAATGTTGTATTCGAGAAAAAAAAATCATTGTAATTTTGTAGGATTGATGTAATATTTGAGATATTTCAACATGATTGATGATTGATACCTGATTTCTGTCTTGAGTCGCATATATTCTGTATATTTTATTATGTTTTTTGAATATTTTCAATCCTTGGGCTGCATGTTCAATGTTTTTATCATCAAAACTGATTAAATAAAAAATTAAAAAATCTACTCAAGGAAGAGTAATATCGCACCTTATGTTTAGATGCATCTTACGAATGACCACTCTTGTTCAATTGTATACCGCTCAAGGTGTATAGAGTTGGTTTACATATTTGTGAGAATGATCCTTAATGGAATTATCCTTGAAATAATTAAATGTAGAAATTTATCGAAACTTTGATGATAAGACACACATGATTCTAAGACCAGTTTTGGAAACGCCCCCCCCCCCCTCAAAAATAAAATGAAAGCTCTTATTACCAATCATGTGAAAGAATATGTTTTGACTGATACGTGGTGATACAAATTTTGCCGGGAAACCGCCTACTAATTGATATATTTAGTAAATTATTTTATCTATCCGGACTGGATAGATATCGCGTAGTCCCATATACATCTTTCTGTGAACAATGCTTGTAACTTTACCAAGACTGGACCAAATTTCTTATCATTTTGATGATTTCAGAACCTTGCAGTACAATGATCAACCTTTTCCGATCGATTCCACAACGTTTCTTTCACAATGCAATCGCATGACCAGAACTGATCTATACCCTTAAGATCTATTTTTATTTGAAATCTCAAATGTAGGTATGTTTTCGTTCCGTTTAGATAAAACATGTCAACGAAACCATACCTGAAGCCCGGGCAGAGTTGATCATCATGTGCCTTGGTGCTTCGTCGGGAGTTGGAAGGATTTCTGCAGGATTCCTGAGTGACCATCCAAAGATCAGTCCAGTTCATATCCAGCAGGTAATCACCGAAACCTTTCATGAAAATGAATGCTACTCAAGAAAACTTTAAATGCTGGCTTCTTGTGTAGCTCCGGTAAGTTCTACCATGCTGGACGTTCATGGCGCTTGCTTTACAATGTATCAAAAATTCAACCTCCTCTGTCAGTGTGTCAAATTAATAGTTGGTATGAAAGTGTGAGTTTGTGGTGCATTAACTTGACTCTCGTTCCAGGGGTTGAGGGTTCAAATCCCAGCTTGGCCCTAACGTTCTTTGGCAATATATGTTTTAAAAAATGAATTCAACATTTGCCAATCTCCATCCAGGTATAGTAAGTACCTGGTACTTGATGGCATTATGATAGTTGCAGGGCCATCAAGAAGAACACCATTTAAGCTGCTGAGGGTAAACATATAATTATTATTAGATTAGCAAGACCCATACCACTTATTTCATGTACTAAATTAATGAAACTTTCCCTTTACTTCTCTTCTTAGCTTGCCTTTCTGGTGATTGGAGTCTCGACAGCGCTGTTGCCACTCATGCGAAACTTCATCGCCCTCTGTGCCACTATCCTGATCATGGGAGTCTTCGACGGAGCCTTCTTCTCCATGATCGGACCTGTCGCATTCAACTTAGTCGGGCCGCAGAGGGCGTCACAAGCCATTGGATGTGTCCTTGGCATCATGTCCTTTCCCATGATGATTGGACCACCGATTGCTGGTAAGAGTTTTCTGTGTACTTTCCCACAGGGTACTGTTGGTGAACCAATCATCTAATCATCTTTTTGCTAAATTATTAGAAAAATTAATTCTTTAAAATATAATTGGGAAAAGGTGGCCACTTTGAAGTGGATATCTTTGTATAGGGACGTCTAGACGTCTACTCGCTGAACAAGTACTCCTCGGACACGTATATACACCATAATACATCTACCCCTTGGCACAATCCCCCAGGACAACCCGGCTAGGACAAGTATCAATGGACATCATCAACTTGGATAACAAACTCATTTCAGGTGAATAAATTATAGTAAATTTACCGTCCCTTTCCCCTCTTAAACCCAACCCCACAAAAAAACTAGAGACACTGCCACTTCACTCCTTCATTCGTTTCTCCCTCTCTCTCCCCCCCCCCCCCCCTCCCTCTCTCTCTCTCTCTCTCTCTCTCTCTCTTTCATGTTACGTAGGCTTTCTGTATGACCTGACTGGGAATTACACCTTAGCTTTTGCCCTATCCGGTATTCCGCCAATGATCACAGTCTGCACCCTCTTCTACATTGAAACCGACCCTCGATCGGACGACCCTGACGAGGAAGCCGACGACGAGAAGCAGGATGCTCACGAAGCGAAAGAACGAGCGTTGATGATCCCTCAGGAGGCCACGCCCAGAATGGTTGCCAAGGAGGATGCAGAGATGATGTTGGGAAATGGTGTCACAGAGGATGATGTTTGGAAGAGGCGATTCGTGGACAGAGGTGGCTTGGAGGATGACCGCGGGAGGAGGAGGAGTTATAGAAGAGATGTCATGTCACCAAGCGATACTCGCCTCATCATGGAAAACCATGTTCCTCATAGCAACAGCAACCATCATCCCAACGGTGTCCATAGCAACGGAGACATCAACAAAATACGTTGGTGTCTACACGGAGGGGTTAAGAGGGAAAGGTGTTCTAGCGAAGGCGTACGGACTGGAAGAGGAGGGGAGCAGACCGCCGTACGCTCACCGTGATCGTAACGATACTAACCACCATGGGAATAAAAATGGGCATGCCCCTAAAGATAGAGGCAACGAGTTTGAGATGAAAGGTATTTTTCACAGGGTGGACTCTCAAACAAACGAACTTGGAACTGGAATAATCATCACGAAAAGAGAGACGGCAGTATAGAACAATAGATTGGACATCGACCTTGCCTCTATTTGTATAGCTTTATATACCAGAGTTTATATTTATGACATTTATTAATGTGAACTGATCGTTTTGTTATCACAAAAGTATGAAGTTCAACTTGAATCAAGTGATCGTTAAGCATACGGATGTCTCCATTATAAGCGAAGGGGATACAGATTACGCCATAATTATTTTCAGAGCGTTTTTATCATTATGAATCATTTCAACTGACGGATATCAAATAAATATATGGAGAGCTGGCTCCTCCTATACCAGGATCATTCTCCGTCACTCTTCTCAATTCTTTCTTTCAAAGCTGCCATTTAAAGATCAATTGAGTTCTGTTCTTATTTATAAGTGGTCGGAAATGGTTACAAGGTCATGAAGCGCACAATGCATTGTGGGGTTTTGGAATTATCAAAATGATGAGACGGTGACTCAAATCTTTTTTTTTAGTCTTGTTTACTGTCGCATGCACTGTACACATAAATGTGCTTATGAGACGACATAGCCATGCGGCATGAAAATGTGGTCAATAATTTCTTGTAATATTTGGAAAATTGAGGGTAATCCAAGAGCCATCCTAATCGGGAAAAATATTTTTCTATGGCATAGAAATCTCGGGTCTTCCCAAAAATGTTTACGACCTCTCAAGTAAATACAAAGTATATGGGTCGTGCTCTTTCAGGTTACATCAGCAGAGCTTTAGAATAAACTGCCAAAACTGATATCAAAACTTGCGATACTGTTGAAAACTTCAAAACTTTTAGAAACAATTTACAATGTTAACTAATGACTTAAGGAAGTACGCCAAGTGTATCTCACTCTTTTATAGTATTTTCTTTCCTTCTCTCCATTACAGCGCATAGGGATTTATTATTATTAACAGCATTATTAGAAATATTGTTATTCCAAACTAATATAAAAAGAATGAAAAAAAGCTCACAAATTATTGTTCACCTTTCCCAAAACGCTATCTTCTCTTCTCTTCTTCCGTCATAGTGCATGCCCCCGACCCGCTTACATCAACGTTACCCTTACTGGCTTTTAATTCCACATCCTCCTCTGAAAGCCACAGGGTATTTTACCGACACTACTTCAGACCAGAGCCATCTACACACAGAGTTTGGCCAACCTGGTTCGAGTTGGACACAATGGCCCGAATTCACAAAGGAGGTTTGTCGACAAACCAATTTATGAACACGTCATATTATGACGCACGAAAACCTAGGTTTGTCGACAAACCTCCTTTGTGAATTCGGACCAATATGGCGACCACTGTTGTGTTGTGCAAGCACAAAACAAAAGAATATACGCCATGTCATGACCCAGTGAAACCAAGTTGGCCAAACTCTGTATATAGATGGCTCTGGTTGAGATTTATCTACAGTGCCATCTGCTGCTCATGTGTCCGCAGCCTTGTCCCACAATGCAACACCAACTGCATGCCTGCATGATGGACGCGCGATGATGCATGAGTACATGAACCGGACTTCGGTTTTATGTCAGCCTTCAAGAAAAGAGTGTGGAATATAAATTATATTACAGTAGTGGTAGTGATGTCTGTAAAATACCCTGCCTTTAAGCCCCACTGTACTACTTGTAGCTTATTGCTCCCTCTATATAGAAAACACTGCCTAATCGGTGCCTGTTGGTCCCCCGTGATCCTCTTTTTCTACGGTTAATTGAGAGCCGAGTTGATGAGATAGTCACCTGTCAGTGACCTCTCTGGGAGGTCTAATCCCTCCTGGCCAAACTAGTACAGATGGGCTTTAACGTTTTCCTCCCTCCCCGGCAAGAATCAATTTCACCCAACTATCAACATTTCTTTTCCCCTTCCTACTCAACCACACACCACACCTCTCATACTGATTCCTAAAGACGTCGTGGTAAGTGCTTTATAAGCAACGTTTTTATTATAACTATTATTATTATTATTATCAAAAACCAGCTTTCCATGGCATTAAATCTATGTATAGAATTCTGTACTGTACTTGAACGAAATAAAACAATAGTCAAAATTTAACACTTCCTTTTCAAAAGTTGTAATGAATTCAGATATACAGTGATGAAATCTTCGCTCTAACGGCAATCAATGGAATGGAAATACAGTGTATCTCGTTGAAATTGAAAATTGTATGAATAACACATTATTGCCTAGAATACTAAAATACATTGAACAAATTTGTATAACTATCAAACATTTTCAATGACAATAAAACACTATGAAAATGTAACATTGTAAACTCAACATACAGATAATTTTCAAATATTGAGCAATAGAGCCCGGCGATGAACCGTTCAATTTCGTTGATTTTCTCTTCCTTCCCTCCTTTTCAAAAAACTTTCAAAGAAAGAACACCCCCACACCACTAAGTTAGGGGAACAGTTTCAATAAACCATTTCCTTCACAAAACTGGCAAAAACTGAGCAAAGAGTTATGGTAGTACTAAATGTAAAATAATTTCGGAAATAAAAAGTGATCATTATCACAAAAGCACCGAAAATATTCATTTTTTTTAAACTTTGAAGGTGGTGCAATTGACATATATATCATAATGAGATAAGAGTAAAAAGGCCGGTTTTAAAACAAGCAAAACTGACTTCACGCCGGGTTTGAAACCCGACTTCCCTATATGTTGTTCTCTGCTTAACTGAATTAATAGACAAAAATAATGTCACCATTTCATGACAAAATTAATTTTAGTACATGAATTTTCCAATGGAGTGAGAGACATGAGTAGAGGATGGAGTGCAGAGAGTACAGGCACACACATCGATTGATTAAAAAACTTGAATAAACCGGGTGGTATTCTCGAAAGCAGACTAACTTTAGTCCATTGTTTACTGCTCCGACTAAGTATGGAATGCCAAGTGTCCATATGAATATGTTTTTGAATAAGTTAATCTGTCACTAAATTAAAATAAAATTTAATAACATAATTAATAAACAACAATATAACTATGGAATAATTATGTTATCATGGTTATTTAGTGACATATCAAATTATTCAAAGATATATTCATATGGATACTTGGCATTTCATACTTAGTCGGAGGATTAAACCATGGACTAAAGTTAGTCCGCTTTCGAGAATACCACCCACCTGGTTTAACGTGGTCAACTTTCAAAACAAAGGCTTTACACATATCTCATATTAAGATCAGAATATGAAAATACATGTACTCTTTAGTCATAGCTCTAGAAATTATTTTTGCGACCTGTTGCAAACTCATCGTAATTTTTTTTGTATATCATCCATTTTTTTGTTGCATCCACAAATTCAAATTCACAAGCACAAAATAATTCTTCATATTTAAAAATATATCTTTTCAGAGGGTGGTCGATTTCAACGTTAAAAAAGCAGAACACATTTTTAATAATCCATGCTACAACAAATATTAATTTAGCAAGTACATGATAGGAAAATAGAATAGAGTTTCAACTTGGCTTTAATTTACCTACCGGTACTCAATAAATTTACCTACTCAATAGGTTGTGCATCTTCATAAAAAGGTTATGATTTTCTAGCAATAAATTACAAAACTACCCAAACTGGTCATGTTTATACTTTGGTATACCAGCATACGAACAATAATAATAATACACCTGAAGTCACAGATTGGCTTCAAAATTTATGTACAGACAAAAAAAAGTTTCAAACCTGTGGTCCTCATATATGATATTGGTGAAATCTGTTTCAGTTGCATTGGTTAGAACCAGATAGGCGTTATGCAACGTTTGACCCACAAACGTACATGTGTTGTGCATCACATTATGATTTTTGTTTTACTTGTATTTGTATGGTTAAGGCTACCATCAATGTGGCTATGGTTTAATTTATCATCCAGTCGAACAATGTCCCATAATAAAACGCCCTTGGTTCAACATGAAGCAACTGATAACATAAATAATGCATCAGTTTGTCATTGTTTTAATCCCTATTTGATTAGTCCCTTCGAAACTAAACACTATGCATGGGAAACAGTTAAAAAAGCAATATTTTCAAAGAAAATATTCAATATATTGTTATGGTGAGCATCAACAGAAACTGCTAGTTGAGATTAAGGAGAGTACTTCAGTTCAAGATACTATATTAACAGCTAAAAGCAAAGTGACTTCCAATGTATTAAATCAGCAAAGTATGAAATATCTCTGTAAAACGACTTACAGGTCAAAAGTAAAATTGTGTGTTTTCTTGGTGCATGAACATTGTACAAGCAGACGCTAGTGTACAATTGTGTCTCTGAACAAGGATTTTAAAATGCAGGAAATTACACAAAACTAATCAATGTATGGTGCGAGCAACTTACAAATTTCTTCAACAAATAGGTAAAATAGGTGAACTGCTAGTTGAACCATATCAAATAAACTTGATTACTGACCCATTTAAAGGTAGAGTGCATGTTTACCTTGTTGTTTTTTTAAAGACACATTCCTGCGTTTACACCAAAAGTATGTATCCAGCTCTTAAATGACAAAAAACATTGCATTATACTTTCCAAAACATGTATTGATCATGTGCCCGACCCACACTGAAACCTACCGGTAAGTGCAAAATTAGGAACAGAAATATTGCTTGACATCTAGCAAACAATGTATTTAATTACATCTTCTTCACTAGAAACCAGCATTGAAAACATGAATGCAGTGCTATTGCCCTCCAACTTTACTCTGCGAGAAAAGCTCCATTTACATGATGAATACAAGCTTATTTGGAAGTGAAGATCGGCACAATGTATCAAATATGGAATGCTTTGGTTGAATATGTAATGAATGAACAATAACTCCCCCTCCCCTTGATGAATACTACTACTATATGTGAACATGATTCAAAATGTCTCCACCTATATGTACATGTATTACATATATATTCAATGAGATAAATAACCTTTGACCTTTGAACTCTAAATCCACTCATTCTTATAAAGCCCGCTCACTACACACCTTACAACTGCACTATGACAAGATGTGGAAATAAAATGTATGAGGATTAGCCATCAAATTCAGGTGTTACATATCCATTTCATAGTCTTGATTGACAATATAAATATTAATTTTGTTTGAATGTGTAGCAATTTTTAGCTTTTCAGTAGTAGAAAAGGCCTTATCCTTTCACCTTAATCTTGTGGTTTTGGTGATATGTTCACAAATAGTGAAACAGCTGACCATACAATGCCTGTGACACCAGTAAACCTGGAAGATAACCATCCAGAAGTATCTACACATATATCATTTCATGAAATGAAGGGGAAAAAGGTCATAGCTCATCACATCCTAAGTAAAATCAATTCCTTTTCAGCCAAAAATTGCCAAAAAGATATAAATATTATGGTACCTTTACAAGGAATGACATTAACAAACAAAAATAAATAAAGATATCAATTTAGGGCAGCATCTCATGAAATAAGCCAGTTCACGGTTGCAGTCTGAGCAAGAGCAGATAAAGGTCATTGCAGAACGAATTGTGAAATACATGGAGACGAAATACTGGATACGTGCTCATGAAAGTTATGTAATCATTATTCATTTATGCACTCCATGATACACAGGTGGAAGTATTCATTGAAAAGGGGAAACAAAGGCTATTTATGTAGCACCTCCATCGCTGTAGGAGTGATTATTTCAAAATGTACAAAGTGGGAGCTCTTCATGTTTTGAAGATCTGTGGATATTCGGGGTCATTGCAGTAATGTGCTAACCGTGAACTGGTCTATTGTCATAACTGTACAAGGTTCAATGAAATCCCATCAAAACGTGTTTCAATGGGACGTCGTCAAACTTGTTCTTATGACGTTTCATGAAACGATGCTCAGAATCTGAATGCAACATGCAATCATCCCCCTGTTGTGATAAGTTTGGATGACATTTCTGCTTAACATCTGATTTATAGACAAGAAGTCTGTCCAAATTTAATTCACCTTTTAAAGGCGGAGTCTTCCTACACATACACAATGATTACACGCACTTAATACTGAGTAATACAGAATAACAATACAACAATGATACACTACGATACACAATCAGCTGCCTTTTTCGATTCAAAATTTACAAATATTACATTTTTCTCTTTCTCTCAAATGTTTCTCCATCATCAAGTTTTGGAGGATATCCACAGTGCATTTTTCCATCACTGTTTTTTGTTGTTGTTTGTTTTTTCATAACACATTGTGAAAATATTTTTGTTTAATAATTCATTATCGTCATTTAGTGTCCCATTCACACATACGAGACCGATGCCAGACTGACAATACCCCGGACATGAGATTATTGTCCAGATGACGGCCGAGATTCTGTCGATAAGAGGTCGGTTTGGATTCGGTTTACTGGTACGACTGGGGTATTAGAGAGCTCATTTCAGTCCAATTGCAGTAGTACCATTCCTCCCAAAGTGTGTACACATGCACATACAACAAAGATACATGAATACTGAGATGTCGGAAATGATGAGACACAAATTTTTAGAAACTAATTCATCAATTATATTGTATACAAGTACATGTAAAACATTCGTTTCAACACATCACATTCACTACATTAAGGTTGTTCACACAATCGAACGAAACATAGATAGACGTCACATACGGTTACATGTAGAAGACGCATTTCTATATCATTCTTGGAATTTTGTGAACACTTACATATCTATAGGTGTCTATTTCAGTCAGTCATGTCAAATATCGACCCAATTCACTCTGTATTAATCCTTTCAATAAATCTTTCCATACTCCCTTTACAAATGTTTCTAACAAAGACCAATAGATATACAGATAACTATTGAATTATTCATACCCCTTGTAAATTTCATGTTTAGGGCCTTTGATGAATACCTTTAGATGTACGCTTTAATGTGTCACATTCTCAAGAAACATAAATCAGGACTCACATACTTCAAAAAACTTGGTAAGGGCATGAATAACTTAGTTAACTGCGTGTTTATAAGAAAATACATGTAGCTTCGAATGGCTCAAGAGATATGGAAAACTGCAAGCTACACAAATATGAGAAACCACACAGGGACTATGAGGTCATGCGCAATCAACACTTATAGGGATCCAATGCATGTGGGGCCACACAGTCTAACTCTGGATCGACTCGAATTCCAAACGTTAAACAGGCAGGGACCCATGCAATTGGGCCTTAAGAAAATTTCAATCCGAAACCCTTGTGAAAATGTCTGTGTGGAGCCTTGCTGTCTTTCCGTCTGTCCCTCTCCCTCAGTGTCTCTGGAAGCTCTTTGACTAGGAGGCGCTATGGCTCATTGGTAGAGCAGTGGTCTCGTAACCGGAAGGTCCCAGGTTCAAGACCAAGTCGATTTGCGCTAGTGCCCTTTGGTAATCCTCATTACCGAATCCCTTGAAGAGGACTCCCTGGTTGCTTACTTACAATGTACAGTGGTCTCGTAACCGGAAGGTCCCAGGTTCGAGACCAAGTCAATTTTTGCGCTAGTGCCCTTTGGTAATCCTCATTACCAAATCCCTTGAAGAGGACTCCCTGGTTGCTTACTTACAATGTACAGTGGTCTCATAACCGGAAGGTCCCAGGTTCAAGACCAAGTCGATTTTTGCGCTAGTGCCCTTTGGTAATCCTCATTACCAAATCTCTTGAAGAGTACTCCCTGGTTGCTTACTTACAATGTACAGTGGTCTCGTAACCGGAAGGTCCCAGGTTCGAGACCAAGTCAATTTGCGCTAGTGCCCTTTGGTAATCCTCATTATCGAACCCCCGGAGAGGACTTAAAGTAGTTGGTCCCCTGGTTGCTCTAATACTTACAAGCATTCACATATGCTTTCTTTAAGCAGTCGGGTAAAACAAACAAACAAACAAAACTAAAAACTATCTCTTAGAGTGTTTCTTTCCTCGATTGCACTCTCACACCATACAGTCCTTCACTACTTCTTAAGCTTGTCGATGATATTACATAGCTTGAGAGCCGGGCCTAGCTTCAGTCCCATATACTTCATCATCATGTCGCTGTTCAGCAACAGGAATGCATTGCCATCGATCTCCTGCAATGAAAGATAAATAATTTGAATCGTTTGTTATCTTTATTCAGTGGAACCTTTATAAAGAAAAATGCTACAACAAAATTGGGACTTTAATTTTGCTAGTTCCACTTCTTTGTACTTTAAAGTTTTATATCCTTAACACAGCAGGGTTTAAATATGACAAGGTATTTTCCTGGGTTCAAAAGGGCCATACTCGACTAAAATTTAAACTGATACTGGTTATAGGATTTTGTTTTATATAGGGTTAAACAAAAGAAGCTTTGTTTTTGTTAAACATGATTTAAGACCCAGGGTCGGGTTTAACTGAATTAGTAGAATACATACCAATTAGTTTTTATTACAACGTTCCACTATATTACTAAATATTATCTATATTATGAGGCTTCCAAGTGGTACAATAAATCAGTGTATTCAATATCTTTAGCCCAGTACCCGATAGACTGACCAATATTGTTTTCGTAATACTCAGTCATCCGGGAACTTCAACTATCAATATCACACGAAAACAAATATTTACTAAGGTAAGTCAAATTATGTTATTTCGCTAGCCAGACTAATATAGATAATATAGATAATATTGTATGGCTTTTTTTCCCCATGTGATACAAGAATATATTGCTCTGGCTAAGACAATAATAGACTCATCTTCGACTCGTCCAATATTGTCATAGCTCGAGCAATATATTCTTGTATCGCACTCAAAGCCATCCAATACTACTATATAAATATTCTGTTGGTGTAGACTATAGATTATGCCATTTTGCAGACTACGCAGAGAGCAAGTTTATTTAGACATGGACATTAACGCAAACTTCTCCATCGATAATAACTACCTTCCAAATGCTTCCCTATCAATCTGAATGTTTGACTACCTTTGTTAGGGAAGGAGGAAGTGCCATAAATCACCCCAATGTGAGGAATCTTAATGGTGTTTACCGATATGCCCCTATGTACAAACAAAACTTTGTTCCCAATCTTTCAGCCCATATCATATACATGTAAACAAACATGTATACCGGTTAAGGTACAGGATATGCTTGTACATGTATCCTAGTTGGCATCAGAGACACATGTAGGTAATCGCACTTTTATATCGTACACAAGATCTGCAAACTTGCATCAAACAGATAGGAACAATATGTATATGTATGAGACAAATGCTATCAAATTGATAGTCATCCCTCACATTCAACATAAGGTTAAAAGTCAATGTCTCAGTTAATTAGTTCAAAATTCAATGACCGTGGTATTTTTGGAATAGTTTAATGCCACTTTTGCAGGAAATGAAAACACTTTCCCTCTCAAGCACAATCAAGAATTATCTTATCTGTATTATCTGAACAATGATACATACATACATACATGTACATATTAGCGCCTTTACATGAACATGCTCAAGGCGCTTTACATTTTAAAATACAAACATAATAGTTATATACTCTCCAAGTGCATTACACTCTAAAAAATGACAATTACAAAGAAAACAAATGAGTTTTTAAATGATTCTTAAATAATGCGACTGAGGTGCAAGAACAAATGCTTAAAGGGAGACTATTCCAAATAGTGGGACCAGAAAAAATTATATTTTGTTGACCCTTCTTCGAATTGATGCGGGGGATTTGCAGAAGAAGGGGGTCTGACCTTGAACGTAATGGATATCTTGATTGCTGGATGGGACAAAACAGACTAGAAATATAGGATGGGATAAGGTTATACATGGATTTATAAACAAATAGTGAAACTTTATACATTATTCTCTTATGAACAGGTAACCAGTGTAGTTGTTTTAACAAGGGAGACACATGATCATATTTTCTTGCATTTGAAAGCGAAGAAGCCAGTAAAGAAAACGACTGAGAAGAAAGAGAAGAAGAAGTTTTACGGGCTGCACGATTCTGATAAAAGATGAATCCAGAATGATTAAAGGGATAGTTGAGTTCTGTTTTCAGACCGCAAATGCCTTCAAAGTGCATGGTTATTGCTCTTATTCTTATCTATGACATTTCTATGCCCTTTTAGGACCTAAAATCACTATGAAGGTAATTTTAGACCCCAAAATGTGTGAAGTTTAGTCGATACGATCATACCAATTCAGCTCCACTTTCCCAAAAATATGGTGACCGTTAATTAATTTATTTATTCATTTATTTATTTGAAAATATTTATACAGGATGACAATATCAACCAAGGCTGTTTTACATATTGGTCCTGTATATATACATACATGGTAAAATACAAACAATGAAATTCAAAATATCAAAGAAATACAAATATCATTGAAATATGCAAAACATGAATAGATTTACATGGATATTGAATAATATAACATTTTATAAAATAACCAGCAACTGGACACATAGATTTACATTCAAAGGATTACCCAGAATCACAAAAAGAATGATTTGAAACAATGTAAGAAAAAACAGAACTAACAAACTTATATTTATTAAAGTAGGGTAAAAAAAGATATATATATTCACACATCCATGAAGATATTGGTTATTTAGAACAATAATGAAAGTACAATCTTTTATAAAGGTATTTAAATGAAGAAATAGATGTGGAATTTTGTAAGTTAATAGGTGATGAGTTCCAGATAACTCCTCCTGAGTACATAAGACTGTTCTTAAAGCATTCTAGATTAGGTTTTGGGCAGGTCCAAGCTATTTGGATTATGACGTACGGGACATTTAGAGACTTTAAACAAGAAATAACAACAGATGAAATTATTTATATGGCTATCTTTTGGTATGAGTCTGTGGCTATTATGGGCTAGTTCATTTGTGGAAAGTTTTAGTTCTGACCAATTTTTTAATTAATTTTAAATGTAATTAATGTGCTGCGTGACGTACGGGACGCTGTGGTCCCGTACGTCACGCAGCACATTAATTACATTTAAAATTAATTAAAAAATTGGTCAGAACTAAAACTTCTTTTTTCAAATTTGACACTCAGTTTTTCATAATCTCTCCAAAAAAATTATTTTGTGTAGCGCCCTCTGCAACAGAAATCAACTATCCCTTTAATCCCTTTCAGTTGTTTAAGAATACATATTGCAACACACACTATTCGCAACAGTTTCATGTCACAGGCATTTCTGTTTTTTGTAGCAGTGCGCTGTGGCGCTGCGGGCTGAATAACTTTCGTTAATTCTCAGAGGAATACTTACGTGTTGCCTGAAGAGCTCCGCATGGGCAGCCATACTCTGGTCCATATTGACTACACATCGAATGACCTCTTCTATTGTCCAGCTGTTAGGGTCGCTGCCAGCAGAGGGCGCTATCCTTGTCGGCGGTATTCTGGTGGTCTGTTCCAACCTGCTCTCGGTCGTTGAACTTGCAGCTGTTATAGGGGAAATGCAGATAACGTTGGCTGTCACATATGATACCATGTACATCAAAACATGTACCATCTATGACATGGTTGTTAGTTTTGTAATGACATGAACTTTCAGTGCAAGAAACTGTGTTTTGAATATTTTTATACAGAATATCCTTATAAATAATCTCAAATTTTCATTTTAATGTTCAATGTTTATGTTCTAAAGTTTATGTTCTAAAGTGCTTTTCATTTGCCTTCAACATTTTTTGTAGTACTCTCTCTTTCTTTCTCTCTCTCTCTCTCTCCCTCTGTTTGTCTCTGTCTGTCTAACCTCTGTATGTCTTACTGTCTCTGTCACTCCCTCCCTCTCTCACTCTCTCTCTCTTTCTCCCTCCCTCCCTCCCTCCCTCCCTCCCTCCCTCCCTCCCTCCCTCCCTCCCTCCCTCCCTCCCTCCCTCCCTCACTTTCCAGATAAGATTAATATCAGAGCACACCAATTCCATCTTCCTTACCCTCTGTAGTTATTCTCCTCTGTAGCTTGTGATTAGGGGGTTTCCCTTCTCTTTCTGAGCTCATTGACGCGTCCGATATGCTTCTCTTGAGGACCCCTCCCCCCGGTCTCGTATTGCTTGCTCCGTGTCTCGGAGGCCCTCTGTCGTCGGAAGCTGTAACAGATCAGAGATGGAGAGAAGGATTAAAACTACATATACATGTAGGAACCACCCTAACAATATTATGTACAAGATCACTGTTGGAAAATCAACTTTATTATTAAGTTTTAAAGGTTTTGTAGGTTCCACATCAATAACGATAACAAAAACAATATACATATGCACCAGTGACATATTTTTATGTGTAAAGACATCAAAGTTGCTATTTTCTTTGTGTAAAAGAGATTACTTGTTATCAGAAGCCAAACTCTAAGGAGTTTTACACCAAAGTGCAGCAGAATATATTTATATGCATGTAGTAGCTGCGCTTTATATATTGATCATATTAATAAATTGAAATCTCTGAATATTGTTTATACATGTAAGGACATTGATAGAACGAATTCATGATGACATGATATTTGTGTAGTTGGTTGGTTACAAAATGGGACTAGATATTTTATATACCAGTGGACTAGCTATACAGATTTAGACCTGGACTGAAGATGGACCTGGACCCATGCTCACTGTGAGAGGCAATGACTGCATTCTTATGGTCTTTACCTTGCTTCGCACACTTTGGGCATGGACCCTGCAACGACTTATCGCTGAAGAAGTTCTCACAGCACAGCAGGTTCTCACACAACCTGTGCAGCATGGCCCAAAACTCAGAGGTGTTGTCAGGAGCCTGGATGGTGGCTGAATGGCTCTCTCCACCGTAGGTACCTGTAACAGAAACAAGACCTTGCTGGATGATCGGGTTCAAGGGCAGACGTAATCTTGCAGCTTTGGGGATTTCTCTTAGATTCTGCTCTTTTCCAGAAGAGTAGAGAATTTGAAACTTGCAACAAGGTACACAATGTAATGGTTTATATAATGATAATAATAATAATCTGGATTTATATAGAGCTTTAATAATACGGAATACTGTCTCTAAGCGTTTTACAGATATTATTACCCCGGCCTTCGGATTCATTCATGCACAATCGCATCACCATCGACGTTGTTATCGTCGTTATCATTATCAACATCATTATCATCATCGTCGTCATCTTCAACACTATCGCATTATCATCGTCGTCTTCGTCGTCATCGCCATCATCATCATCATCATCCTCGTCATGATCATAATCATCATCATCATCATCATCATCACGATCATCATCATCATCATCATCAATGTCACCACCACCATCTTCATCATCATCATCATCATCATCATCATCATCATCATCATCAATGACACCACCACCATCTTCATCATCATCATCATCATCATCATCATCATCATCATCATCATCATCATCAGCATCATCATCATAATCATCATCATCATTGTCAACGCCACCACCACCATCATCATCATCGTTGTCACCATCATCATCGTCTACCCCTTCTCACTAGTTCGATCACTCACCATTTATTGTGACATTGCCATCATCCGCCTCCTCCAGAAATGTGAGAACGAGCCTTTGCTGCACTGCGCAGTCCACACACAACTGTAGAATGTCCCTGAGAGCCGAGCTGATAAGGGTAGGTCCAACCTGACACGGCATCTGCCAGAGCTTGTGGGGGCTCAGGTAAGGACCGCTCACGCAGGAACTGTTCAGGTGTACCAACACTGCAGGAAAAAGCATAATTGTTCAGTGTAAAACTGAATGGTATAGGTGTGGCAAAGTTTCAATAATAATAACAATAGTTCGTTCTTTTGTAGTGCATGTCAAGACTGCAGGCCCTCTCAAAGCGCTTTACAATGTACAATGTACGTTTACATAATTTCAAGCCTTAGGCTAATTGCCGAACCTCTGCGTGTTTCTCCATGCTGTATAACTGTAAATGGATTATGATTGTAACCGCCTTTTTAAGTCTACTGCTATTATTCATATCGTCTCATGTTGATCATACCGCGTAATGTGATGTATCATGCAGAAATGAATAAATAAATAAATAAACATATAAATAAGAAATAACAAATATCTCATTCATATTTGAATAATGGGTCTTAAGTTGACAAAAAGAAGATGGTATACCAGAAGCATACTGCAAAAAATACAATAGACAAAGAAGTTTCAACAGTGGTTAGATTAGCAAGTGTGCGCTTGTAAAAAAGACGCCTGGCTGGAATGCTCCCCAGGGAGTGGAGAATGTGCACACATTGTGTGCGGGTAAGCCTGAATCCTATGACCGGGGTAATAATATATATATATATATATATATATATATATGTAGAGCGCTTTGAGAGGGCCTTCGGTCCTGAAAAGCGCTACATAAGAACTAGCTATTATTATTATTATTATTATTAAATATTCGAACGAACTGTAGTCTCTGAGACATTTCTATATAACTAAGTAATGCTAGGTTCACATTATGTTCCCAGCGGCCACCGTGGACAAAATGGGACGAACGTGAGACAACGCGTGGGGGCGGAATGGGGAAACGTGACAGGCCGTGACTGCCGTGGATACCGGGCCAGATTTTTAAACTGTCAACATAATGTAAACCTAGCGCTCCAACATCAGTTGACGATGTTCAATCAAATAGAAATTCCCATGTTTGAAACAATGGTAATCTCTGGAGTCATCGACAACTGTAATATACCTGAAGGCTCTGCAACAAGTTCGGCCGATGGCAAGCAGCTTGTGTCAGGCTCCACTTTCGTTGATAGGGCGCCCCCTCCAGGCGACATTTGAGATGAAGAGGTCGACGAGCTACTCACTCGTCTTACTTTGGTACTTGCTCCTAGTAGAACAAAAGCAAATGACATATTGCATTTTTGCATGTTCAGAGTAAATTATCATGCTTGCTTCAGTTTGTGAGGGATGGAGTAACCATTTGGCAGCCACCAGGAAAAGAATACTTAGGACTCAGCCCAAAATGAAGGACAACTTCAAATGTCTCTGGATTTTCCGGTTTAGACCAGTATAATTTAATATAATCTCCTTCTTCATCATCAACATAATCATCATTATCATCATCATGATCAACATCATCATCAACATAATCACTACCATCAACATCATCATCATCATCATTATCATCATCATCAACATCATCATCAACATAATCACTACCATCAACATCATCATCATCATCATTATCATCATCATGATCAACATCATCATCAACATTATCACTACCATCAACATCATCATCATCATCATTATCATCATGATCAACATCATCATCAACATTATCACTACCATCAACATCATCATCATCATCATCATCATCATCAACATCATCATCAACATAATCACTACCATCAACATCATCATCATCATCATCAACATAATCACTACCATCAACATGATGTTGATGGTAGTGATAATGTTGATGATGATGATGATGATGATGATGATAATGATGATGATGATGATGATGTTGATGGTAGTGATTATGTTGATGATGATGTTGATCATGATGATGGTAGTGATAATGTTGATGATGATGATGATGATGTTGATGGTAGTGATTATGTTGATGATGATGTTGATGATGATGATAATGATGATGATGATGATGTTGATGGTAGTGATTATGTTGATGATGATGTTGATCATGATGATGATAATGATGATTATGTTGATGATGAAGAAGGAGATTATATTAAATTATACTGGTCTAAACCGGAAAATCCAGAGACATTTGAAGTTGTCCTTCATTTTGGGCTGAGTCCTAAGTATTCTTTTCCTGGTGGCTGCCAGTAATCGAACGCCCCCCTCCAGCCGTCAAACTGGACGGGGGCGTTCGATTACTGGCTCTTCATCATCAACATAATCATCATCATCATCAACATTATCACTACCATCAACATCATCATCATCATCATCATCATCATCATCATCATGATCAACATCATCATCAACATAATCACTACCATCAACATCATCATCATCATCATTATCATCATCATCATCAACAACATCATCAACATAATCACTACCATCAACATCATCATCATCATCATCATCATCATCATGATCAACATCATCATCAACATTATCACTACCATCAACATCATCATCACCACCACCACCACCACCACCACCACCACCACCACCACCACCACCACCACCACTACCACCACCACTACCATAATCATTAACAGTTTGATCTTCGCACCTGTTTTACCTGGAGGCTGGAGGTAATGTCCGGTGGCTTTACACCATCCCACCGGGAAGATATCCCTGGAGTTGTATTCGCACCAGTAATCGAACGCCCCCCTCCAGCCGTCAAACTGGACGAAGATGGTGTTGTCCTTGGCTTGCCCTACCGTGGCGGGGCAGATGAGGTGCGGATTTTTGCGGTCCACGGCCTCCAGCTTCATGCCAACCTTGAACTCGTTGCCCCTGGGATCGGGAGGTTCCTGAAGGATAAGTGAAAGAAGAGAGATGAGAATACAACAACCCCCAAAGAGCTCTTTCCTACTTTGCCATATATTCCTTGAACAAACGGCACGATTTTATTTTATTATAACTATAAACGTTAAAAATTATTGTGTAAATAAAAATTGAAATGCAGTCCTTAAAGATAAACTCCAGTACTGGTAAAAAAAATTAAAAAAAATTCTCACAGAATCAAACAAAACTTACACTGAATGTTCAAGATTACAAATAAATGACATGTGCCAAACAATTTTGGAAGAAAATGTATACTGGCTGAGTAATGAGCATAGAAAGACAAGGAAATCAAGGTAGTACTAGCCCCGACACCATGTGTGTTGTCCCATATATAGCTTTCTATGTGAGTGCTTGTTACTTTACCAAGACTCGGTCAAATTTATTATGATTTTGATGACTCCAGAACCTTGCAGTACACACCAATACTTACATGCTACATGATCAACTGTTTCTGATCCTTTCCACACCTTTTCTTTCACAATGCAATCACATTACCAGTACTAAAGTTTATCTTTAACTAATACACTTGGCTTGATTACATTGTATTTTAAATCAATACACACATCCCTGGGTTTAAGGACAGGATAAGGTGCAAATAGCACACACAAGAGTGTTATTACAGATAACTTGTAGAATTGCACTTTGAGGAATCAATTGTTCTCTAATACTGTTTTCACACTGGCAAAAATTTGCTTAACCCCGTACTATAGGTGGGGTTAAAGGGGAACTTAGCCCTACCTATAGTACGGGGTTAAGCTTATTCCACTTTCTTTTCACACTGGCAAAAATTTGCTTAACCCTGTACTATAGGTGGGGTTAAAGGGGGGTCTTAGCCCTACCTATAGTACAGGGTTAAGCCTATTCCACTTTCTGTTCAGACTCGTATTTACCAAAGTGGGCTAACCCCACCTATAGTACGGGGTTAACTAACCCTGCAAAATAGCAGGGCTAACCTCGCAATTGTGGTGCTAACTCCTGCTAACTCCGCAATTGGGGTGCCCAGCAAATGAATGAGAACAAAAACGAAAAATAGTCCGGGACTAAGCAGTGAAGCGAATTAATGAATTCCATGGCCATGGCTAGTACAGGGCTAAGCAAAGTACGGGGTTAAGCAAAACAAGTGTGAAAAGAGTATAAGCTTTCAAATGCACCAATAATTCCTAACAAGAAAAATTGTCAATTGTCATAATGTAAAAATGTTTAGTTTCATACAATGCTATCAACCTAGTTTTATATTACTCTTAAGATATCATGATTGTGTCAAGGCAGTATAAAAAAGCTGTGTATATCATAAATGCTATACCGTGTTTGCCGGCGTTAAGGCCGTAGCACGGTATAGGCCACACCCCTGATTTTGACATTTCGTAGTCAAAAGTAGAAAAATATAACTTTTTTGTTTTGCTTTTTTGCCGACACCATGGGCAGCAAGCCAGATGGCATCTTATTTCAGCTTTCTCGCCAGCCACAGTTACACAGTTGATAGTGTATTGCGCCACAGCTTGGCTCACGCGGGCTGCGAGGATTGAGGTTGCTTTAGCGATGGCACAAACTTAGATGTAGATCTACCAGTAGTTTTTGGTTGGTAAGTTATGAAGTTTATTCACGAGATTGACAAAACTTCATGTGGAGTTATTCTAGAAATGTCATGTACCTTTGTAGTTAACTGCTATAGTCGTTGTACTTAGTTTAGTCCCATATATGTTCAAATACGTGCTGTTTTGACGGCCAATCTTTTTATTCTTGTTGCACATAGGACGCACCCAGACTTTTTGATATTTCCTCTTCCGAAAATACTGCAGTCTTTACCCCGGCAAATACGGTACGCACGATACATACCGATTTAAATGCTTGTGTCGGAGCTATGCTTGCATTGTTGAGTGTTCTCAGTAGAAACATGGGCCACGATGAGGCATTCATTCTGAAACCTGTTAATGGATCATAAAACTATCAATGATATAATGCTATATTGAAATGTAAAACAAGAGTAATCGGACAATGGGAAGCAAAACCTGTCAAAAATACTGTTAGACCACACTGGAAATTTAATTTAGTGTGAAGATTCAAAGTAGCTTCTACACTGCGCCAAAAATGTAAGTTCAAACCCCTAAAATTTCGACATTTGACATACGATCTACAGGTACATGTATGTATACCAACTCAAAATAGTTAATTCTAGAGCCCTTCTAACAAAAATTAGTATGGAGGCCTGTAGCATATTCAATGGATTTGAACAATGTGAGAAAATAGTATAAGGGAAAACTTTGTCTATAACTTACCAAGAGGAGGCTGAAGCATGCCGCCATTTTTCTCACAGTGCCCGATCGGCCTGATGTCGGACGAGTCCACCAACCTCCAAAAGTCGTTCTTGTTGTCGCTGCCGTCCAGTCGCAGTCGTAGCCGTGGCCCAATCAGACCGACCACAGTCGCAATGCATGTCGAGGTCACATTGCGGGGGTCAAGGGCTTCTAGTTTCATCCATAGTCCGAACTCATTGGGTGGTGGGTTAGAGGTCTGGAGGAAGAACATGTACATGGACTCTGGAGTCAACATTTCAATGGTACATTAAAGGGGAAGTCCACCCTGAAATTAAGTTAGTTTTAATAGGAGTAGAAAAATTAGAGAAACAAGTCAGTGAAAGTTTGAGCAAATTCCGATTAAAAATAAGGAAGTTAGGATTTTTGAAGTTGTGATCAATCAAACACAAATTGGCAACTCTATGACGTATCATGCGAGCTCAACTTCCATTTGCTCAGTACTAAAAAAATCTAAAAATTTTCATTTTCCCTCAAGAAAAATTTCAACCATACATGCACCCTAAATATAATAATTGCAAATATGTTTCTATACTCTCCCTGCAAGGAACAAATATATATTCCGTCATCAATAACGAAGAAAACATGATTTTATGGAATATTATGCACAAAGCAAATGAAGGAGAGCTCGTATGATAAGTCACAGAGTTGCCAATTTGTATTTGATTGATCACAACTTCAATAATTCATAACTTTCTTATTTTCATTCAGAATTTGCTCAAACTTTCACTCACCTGATTTTCTTATTATTCTGCCTCTATCGAAACAAACTTATTTTGGGGGCGGACTTTCCCTTTAAAACATTGTGCAATGTTAAAGGGGTGCAATGTAAAAGGGGCACAAAGAGCAATCAACACCAAAAAAACTAATAATAATTTATAACTTACCCCACTGCCCCCCTCCCCCTCCTTGTGTTGTGCTTCCCTTTTAAATTTTAGAGACCAACACAATAAAAATATATCTAACAAATATATCAATCAATCAATCAATAAATGAATTCAAAATAAACAAACCAATTAATATATACCCAAAAAGTAGAAATATTTGTGGTACATTAATTTTTCGCGGATTTTGCGCTAAGATCGGCAAGTGCAAATTTTAGAACTTGCGAAAATATAAGCATGACTTCTTATGTGTGTTTTGAACGGGCTAAATTGTAGGCAACGCGAATTTAAGAACCAGCGAATATGTTATGAGGTTGCTCAGCGAGAAAAATTAATCACACGAAAATAAACAGCGTTTACAGTATTTAGCACCGTTAAAAATGAAACAATTTTGTTTTCTTCTCCCAACAGAGTTTTTTCTAATTAATTTGACCACCCCCCCCCCCCCCCAAACTAAATATCACAATCCTGGCTAATCAAATCTGAATCAAATGCATATACAGGTAATTAAAATAATTACTCCCACACAAACCTGTTTGAAGCATTCTGGTGGAGCGCATGTAGCACCTGATTCTTTCAGATAAACATCCCAATCATAGGTCACTAGAAAAATAAGGATACATGTACATGTAGGTGGGGGAAAAATGAAATCGGGAGGTGGAAATTAATTCAATAGGTAATATTACATACATGTACATGTCGAGGGTTCAGTGACACAAAGACGTAACTCCATATTTTGCCAAAATGAGTAGTTAATAACAAAATGTTCAGAAAAATGGGGGCTTTCCAGGAAGACTCAACTCCACTCCACCCAACACCTCATTGAAGTCAATGGCTAGTGAAACAGAGACTTAAAGGTAAAGACCAGTATTGGCAACGCCCCAATTTCAAAAAATCAAATGGAAGCTCTCATTACCAATCATGTGAAAGAATATGTTTTGACTAATACATGATGATAAAAAATTTGCCGGGAAACCGCCTACTAATTCATATATTTGGTAAATTTATTTCTCTCATGGTCTGGTGAGAGAGATAGGGTAGTCCCATATACATCTTTCTGTGTATAGTGCTTGTAACTTTACGAAGAATGGGCCAAATTTCTTATCATTTTGATGATTCCAGAACCTTGCAGATGCTAGATGCTAGATGATCAACCTTTTCTGATCGATTCCACAACGTTTCTTTCACAATGCAATCGCATGACCATTACTGGTCTTTACCTTTAACTCCTTACGGCCCAAGTGCTCAGGGACACATAAACCACTTTTTCTCAAAATGGCAAAAATGGAGTTACGTCTTTATGTCACTGACCCCTCGAGGTGATCAAATCTAAAAGGCAATGTTAATCAGGCCTTTGGTTAACTTATTAACACATAGCCGATTAGTGTCACTTTTTAGTGATACATGTACTTCTGAAAAAATCTTTTGATCCAATTTAATTTGTACCATGCACATTAAATGCATGTAGAAGCACAGTGAACAGGTCCATGTACAGGTACTATAAACTCTGATACATGTACTTCTGAAAAAATCTTTTGATCCAATTTAATTTGTTCTATTTCTTTTTTTACAGGTTTCTTTGTACTGAAGTTTATGGTCTGTCTTTTTATTGTGTGTTTAATATAAATTGAAATGAATTAAATTGGATATGTACGTGCATGAAGAGAAAAAAAAAGTGTATAAAACTACATGCATAGGATGGCCAAATCAGGTACACGTGTAAGCGTAACATGTGAACTTGAGAGCCAGCATACTGTACACTCATGGAGGGGTGATGTCAGCAAAAGTTTGCCTTATTTATCAGAGGCATTTGTAATAGGAGTGAAAAGATTGGATGTGATTTCCTGCTTAGAGATGTATCTCAACATGACTCAAACATGAGTCATCTAAACAGACATGGAACAGTCAGGGGTGATAGTGAGCACTAAAAAAAAAGGGGGGGTTTCCTTGACCACGCCCCCCCCCCCCCCCCCCCCCCCTTCGAGTAAAAAAAAAAGAGGATTCAGGGGGGAAAATGACATCCGACAACATTCCCCCCTTTTGAGTAAGAAAATTTGGAAAAGAATAGGGGAAAATAGGGAAAATAGAGAAACTAAGTGAAAAAACAGGAAAATAACGGGAAAATAGGGATAAAATCCGGGGGGGGGGGGGGGGGAACCGATTTAAATCGGGTAATTATCAGGCCTGAACAGTATCTGTACCATGCACATTAAATGCATGTAGAAGCACAGTGAACAGGTATATACAGGTACTATAAACTCTGTATAATAAAGATGCACCCATTTTCATCATGAAAGAGTACATACATGAACATGACCCTGTTCGACTTCATAAAACATATTAAATATCCTAATCTCCATTATCTTTAAAATGAAAATCCAATCTATATTCAACTGATATAACAGGTACAACTTTCATGCGTTCATTAAACCTACCGATATTTCGATCATATTGAATGCCAACACTCATATACACTTTTGTATGTACCGGTATAAAAACATAATTTATCTTTTGACCCCTGGATCTACATGTAATCATGGTAATGTTGTAATATGGAATGTTGAGGTAATTATGCCATAATGTATTATAGTGTATTGGTGCATTAGTGTATAAGGAATTGTAGGTGGAGCAGTCTACAATGTAAGCTACCCCCCCCCCCCCTTCCTCATCAGACAATAGCCTTACTTTCCCGCCTTTTTTGGGGTACCTGTATTGCCCAATGTACTGATACCCTATAGGCATGATTGGGGATCCTATTGTAAGTTTTAGTGGATGAGTGATTTTCTTTTGTTCGGGGTCTGTGCACCCAGAGCTGCTATAGCAGGGACAAAGAGACATTGTAGATTGGAGAGAGAGGAGAGAAGCACTAATTTGTGCCTGCTAATGGAGATTGTTATTTACTTCTGGCAGATCACAATTCATGGCTGCATGTGGTGAAATCTCCTTATTTGATGAACTACACTTTCTACAATAAGGTGGAAGCTTTGTTTATGATCAGGGGTCGGACGACAGCATATAGCGTTAGTGTTGCTTCGTCGTTATAGTATTGGCCGGGGCTGTGTTTTCTTTGGTGAATAAATGCAAGACTAAAGTTTACGTTGGACTCCCTAGCTGTTGTCATTTCTGAATCTCAACAATGGTGTCAGAAGTGGGATGACTGACGGCGAGGGACAACTGGACTGAGATCATCTGCACGGATACTGACCAACCTCCAACTTCTTGCGGCCGTGACGTCGTCGGCTGGCGATATTTGGTGTCAGCAACGTCCGGAGGCAAAAGTGAACATTGGACAGACAGTGAACATTCAACAGCCTCGGTCAGATACATTGTGACCATTAATGAATTTGAAGAACATGTTCATGTAATGATACACATGATTGATGATTTGTTCGTTTAAGTTTGCTTGTTGTGAAATATTATTGTTCCTGTTGAATTTCATAATTAACACATTTAAGTGCAGGAAAATGGCCCCTACATCTACGACAACAACTGTGACAACAACAACAACAACTACCACGTCGACAGCATCATCCACACGACCTACTATGACACCAAGGGAGCAACCTTCAGACATGGACATGCTGTCACAGTTCTTTCGTCGTTCCATTGGGCTACAGAGCATTCTCCAGAGCAACTTGCCCAAGTTTAGGGGAATACCACAACACGCAAACGACATTGCACTATCGGAATGGCTTGAGGAGTTCTATGAGATCACTGCTCAACACAACATGGAAATGGGCAGTAAGGCCAGACTTCTTGTAGATCACCTTGCAGGACCGGCAAGGGAGGAAATTATGTGCCTTAGTGAATCCCGAAGACGTGATTTTGATGAAGTTGTAGCATGTCTTAAACTATGTTTTGGCTACGAGGAAAATACACAGTCGTTGAGCAGCAAGTTCCATAACCGCGTACAGAGAGAAGGGGAATCGCTTTGTGACTTCAGCCGGGCCTTGATACGCCTATACATAAAGCTGGAGAAGGCAGCAATCACCCAAGCCCAAGGTGAAGCTTTGGCACAATTAAAAGACAAAGCTTTGAGTGACCAATTTGTAAATGGCGCACGCGAGGCTTGGGTCAGGAGGGAGTTGAGACGCATCCAATTAACTCATGGGCCCAGTGGGTTCAATAGGATGAGAGCAGAGGCACTCCAGCTTTTCCAGGAGTCGAGGTCGGACGGGTGGTCACATCAGATTCTGCACATCTTCTGCAACAGATGGTAGACCAACAGACAACTATTATGACTGAACTAGAACAGCTGAGAGGGGAGGTTACACGATTGAAAAATGCCAAACCTCAGAGAAGGAGGGTGAGTAGTGGATGTTTTCATTGTGGTCAGAAGGGACACTTTATAAGGGAGTGTCCCAACATGACACATATGCCTACCAACATATTCCCCGCTGCTGCTTCTAATTACAACTTCTCGGATGGACCCAGAAGCCAGAGGAATTACGACTTTCCTGCTTGGAGTCAGGAGTCGGGTACCAGGAACCAGGATAACTTCAATTTGCCTGCAACGCGTTATCAGGCTCCATCCCAGCCACATGCCATCCAGAGGAATTATGATTTTCCTGCTTGGAGTCAGGAGTCGGGTACCAGGAACCAGGATAACTTCAATTTGCCTGCAACACGTTATCAGGCTCCATCCCCGCCACATGCCACCCAACGTCACCTTCCTCACCAGGATGTCACCCCGCAGGCGGAAAACTAGCTTCCTCTGCTGTTGAGGGCAAAACAGCAGGGGACAATGAACAACAGGACAAGACAGAAGAGCCCATGGGACAAAGCTCCCATAAGCTACAAGCCGACACGCCTATAACAGACAAGAGGGAGATTGACACAGAAACGAGATTTGCACATTCCAGACAGACCACTTTGGAAGAAGCTGCGCTGACAATAGATGAAATAATGTGTGACAGCGAAACAGAATTGGTTTCAGAAAGTCCGACCGCAATAGCAGAAGTTGCCGGCGTGAAAATTGGTTGCGTCTTAGACACTGGAGCAGAGGCTTCGATAATACCCTCAGACGTATTTCACTCGCAGCTTCAGGAAGCAGCAGGAGATGTCAGCCCATTGAAAAAACTGGTAAAAATTGTTGGGGTGGGTCCAACAAAGGTTCCTGTAGAAGGCTTTATCCGCACTCGAGTTTTGCTGAACGGCAAAGAAGCTTCCGTCGGGTTCCTTATCGTGAACCGAGAGTCTTGTGGAGCTAGACAAAAAGACTTCCCAATTTTATTGGGATGTAATGCACTACGAGCTTTTTTTTCCACCAGAGGAAACTCAAGAAGAATTCCAGTTAGTAAAGGACTGCTTGAAATTTAAAGGAGTGGACAATGCACAAATACGAGAGGTTGTCACGGGTGCCTTGGAGGTAGTGTTGCCAGCCAGGACCATACAACATGTAGAATGTGCGATGAAGTCCTCTCAAGGTGGTGAAGCTGCCAATGAGTCAAGTGTCTGGTTCATCCAGGATCTGACTAAGCTGGAGAGTTCTCAAGTTCATGTGATTGAAGGTTGTGCTACCGGGAATAGAGAGTTACGTTTACTCCTTATTAATGCTGGAGAAAATGAGTTCATCCTACCACCTCACTCAATTGTGGCATCTG